ATAGTAATATCCTTTATTTTTAAGAGGACTATAGTAAATTAGAAAAATAGCTAGGTGATATTAAGAAGATAATCGATCTAGTGTTATTTATCTATATTAATTTTAAGATAAAGATAATTATATTTAGAGTAAAATCGATTAAAGACTAGTTATAACCGTTTTATACGCTAGAGTATTAAAAAGGTTAAATTCTATCTAGTTCAGATATCTTAAATTAGAACTAATTAAGGGTGGTTAGACTAGAGACTAAAGAAGGACTCCTAACGTTAAGGGCTTATATTAATAAAGATCGTAAGGTTTCTAATCTAAAATATAAAATAAGTTAGTATTTTAATTAATAAATAAGGAGTATAGATATATATCTTTATAAGAGTTATTGTAATATCTCGTTTTTATGCTTTTCGACGGGCGTGTTAGGTATATTCCTTAGACTAAATAGTCTTAGTTATCTTATTCTAAGGGTTCGCTTTTATCTAGCTAAGTAGTTATTTTAAACTTAACTAAATTATATATATAATATATAGAACCCGAATAATTATTACCTTAGAGTTAATATCTAATAATTAAATAAAATCTTAGATACTTAAAATAAGGGTAGAGTTATTTAATATATTATTAGTTATTATTATAAGTACTTAGTCTTCGATCTAATACTTCTAGAGGATATTGAGAAGGGTTATACTAAGATTCTATCTAGAGTATATACTAGAAATAGGTTCGAAGCTAAGTAAAACCTCTCAATAATTCTAGTCTATATTAATAAAATAGCTAGAGATAGCTATAAATACTTATTAAAATAGCGATATCTAATAGTTAAGACTAATAGAGAGCTTAGTCTTAGATAAAAGCTTCTAAAGTAAATCTTTCTATTAATCTTAGGTTATTCCCTAGATTCGACGCTATATAGTTTAACGGGAAGGGAAACTAGGGATAAATAATAATAATTAGGTTATTTAAAAAAGGGCTTAGAATTTAGGATATTTAATAGTTTAAAAAGGAAGTTATAAAATAGTTATTATAGTAATTAACTATTACTCCTATAGCTCTTAGGTAACTAGCTGGGCTATTTAAGGGGAGTTCTTAATCTAAGAAAGATTAGCCTATAAATTAAATAATAACTATATAATATACTATATATTCTATAAGATATTAAATTATTAAATATTTAGTAGTGCTTTAGCCTTTCTAGTATATACTCCGATTCTAGTAACGTTAGAGATCTATTATCCTATTTTTAGTATAGACTAGATAGTCTATAACCTTACTATATTATTTATATAGGAGCTTTAGCTCTCCTATTACTAAATATATGACTTAATTAAAATATAACTATATATTAGTCTATCGTGGACCCTCTTAGTTTATCTTCTTTGTAGTATTATAAGAACCACTAATTTAGGTATTAAGCTACTAGTTTAAAAACTCTGCTTTATTTATACTATTAAAAATCACCTAGGTCTTTTTCCGATTGTCGGATTATTTTAGTATTAGTAATATAATAGGAGGGAGGCTTTACTCAGTTTACTAGCTTTCTAGTAGTTCTAAGAGGGTATCGAGAAGTTGATTAGAATAGAAAATAGATAACTTAAACCCCTTACTCTTAATAAAAAAGGGAGGGTACGAGGTAGATAACTAAGATATAAAAGAGATATAGTAATAGTATATTAAAATAAAGGACTTAAGATATAGAAAAATAATCTAAGATAAATTATCGTAGATTTAGGGGAATATATAGGTCTAATACTTATTTCTTATTAGTAGATAGGATTCGGCACTATCCTAATACTAAATTTTATAACTAATCAGAAGATACTCTACTAATATATATAAAGCTTATTAGATAGTAAGAAATAGATTAACGGGTCAACCTATAGGCTAACCCGTTAACCTAAATAATTAGATAAGAGTAATACCCTAAGATTTTTCTTTTTATCCTTAAAAAATTTTAACCTAATCAGCTAACCTTTTTACGTAGGTATATTAGAACTAGGGCTATAAATAAACGCGTAGATAGATTAAAACCGGGGTTTTAAGCAATCGCGTAGATAGATTAAAACCCCGGTTCTAATAGAGATAGAAAGACTACTATAAAAAGGTATATATTTTATTATATCTAGTAAAAAAGGGACTATATAACCCTTTTATAGTAAGAGACTTAAGATATAGAAAAATAATCTAAAGTAAATCATCGTAGATTTAGGGGAATATATAGATCTAATACTTATTTTTTATTAGTAAATAGAATTTAGTATTATCCTAGTACTGAATTTTATAACTAATTAGAATAGGCTCTACTAATATATACGAAGTTTATTAGATAGTAAGAAATAGGTTAACGGGTCAACCTATAGACTAACCCGTTGATCTAAATAATTAGGTAAGAGTAATACCCCAAGATTTTTCTTTTTATCCCCAAAAAATTTTAACCTAACCAGCCAATATTGTTATTTTATATAAATTCAGAAAAAATATTTAAAATAATTCTTTTATATAAATAAGACTATAATATACTTATATATTAATAAAGAAATATTAGATATTAGATTTATATCTATTTTATTGTTTCTAATATATATAATTTATTTATATAAAAAGTAGAAGTACTACTATAGACTTTAAATATATATTTTTAGGTTTAGTATAAGAAATAGTTAACTAATATCTTCTTTCGCCTATATCTATCTATTATAAAATATAATTCTTACCTTAAAGTATTAAATTAATAAATTAATATATTATATATTCTAAATATATTATTACTATATAATATTCTTTTTATAAAGAGTTAGAATTATAAGTTATATTAGAACAAAAACAGTATTTAATAATAGTGTATTATTAAAAAAGGTAAGCAAATTATCTATCCTAATTAAGAAATTTATACTAAAATAGGTCAAAAATAGGTTAACCCGTTAACCCACGGGTCAACCTATAGGCGGGTCAGGATTTTATTGACCCGACCCATGGGTCGTGGGTTTGGGTCATGGGTCAAGATCTTTGACCTATGGGACGGGTCTGTCCATGTCTAGCCGCTGTCTCTCTGGCTAATCCTTTCGAGCCGATACACGCGCTAACTGCTAGAAATTGACCTAATTTGAAGAAGAATCGATTCTTCGATAGATCCTCTCTATAGATCGACGTAGAGTAGCTCTTCGGCCAGCAGCTATGCGAGAAATAGCTAATATTCTATTGGCTAAGCGTGGATCTACCCCTATTTAGTCTATTGGCCAGAATCGGGTCTATAATTTTATTAAATACTATAATAAAATTAAGACTCGCTTCTCTCGTCGATACGATTATTAACGCGTTAAAAATAAAGACCTAAAAATTATTAATAAGTAGTTTAACTATATTCGAAAGATAGTCGATAAGAACGGTATTCTATACGACGATATATATAACTTTAATAAGACTAGCTTTGTAATAGGTCTTACCTTAATAGCTAAAGTGATTACTCGGTCTAAATACTACGATCGGCGATTATTATTATAATCTAGGAATCGCGAATAGGTTATAGTAATTAAGTCGATAAACGTATCTAGATAGATACTACTACTATATATTATCTTTAAAGGCAAGGTCTATATCGAGGGCTGGTTTAATAATCTACTACCCGATTAGCACTTCGAAATTAGCGAAAATAGTTAGACTATAGACAAAATTAGCCTTCGCTGGCTAAAAAAGGTCTTTATATTAGTTACTACTAATTATACGAAGGGTAAATATCGACTTCTTATCCTTAATAGCTATAGTAGCTATTTAACGCCTTAATTTAATAAAGTATATAGCGATACGAATATTATACTAATTTATATACCGGCGTATTTATCGTATATTCTATAGCCTCTTAATATTAGCTGCTTTACGCCTTTAAAAAAGGTATATAGTAGCTTAGTTAAGAGATAAATACGATATAGTATTAATTATATCAACAAATTCGATTTTCTCGCTATATACCTAACTACTCGCTCGTAAGCCTTTAATAAAGCTAAAACTATTCAAAATAGCTTCGTAGTAGCTAGATTAGTTCCTTATAATCTAGATTAGGTTATCGAAAAGCTTGATATTTAGCTTTAAATGTCTATACCCCCCGGGAGTAGCTAGAGTAGTTAAAATAGTCAATTCTCGCTAAAAACCCCCTAAAATTTAAAATAGCTATATTAATAGGCTTTATTAATTAAAGCTCTACTAAAATATCGCTCTTATAGCCTACTAAGTCTAACTAACGCGGCGCTAGATTAACTTATTAAAGGCTGCTAACTAGCGATATATAGCGTTACAATCCTCGCGTATAAAAATAAGGATTTACGCGTAGCTAATAAAAAGCAGAAACAAAAACGAGCTAGATCTAATAGGTAGATACCTCGAGATCAAGGCCTATTAGTCTAAGAGGCTCGTGAGCTAATATCGACGGCGCACTAAGCCTCTGAAGCTTAATTAACTGCCCCGGCAGACCTTTATTAACAAGCTTCGCAGCCAATTCGGCGAGCGCCACCGCGGTGCAGCGACTGCCGCGAATTAGGGCATCGAAGATTACAGTGTCCAAAACGATATAATTAGATTTTTTTTATATATAAAGGCGTTGTGGCGAATATAAATCGATTTAAATTCTATATGCTTAATATGCTGCGGCACTCGCTTGTGTGCGGCACTCGCTTGTGGATTACGTTAGACAAGTCCTATCCCAGCTCGGACCACCACACCCATTTTCCCCTTAACTCAATACAATGAAATGTCTCAAGTATATTGAAAGATCACGTCGCTAACTTCCAATTCAAGGATTGAAATAAAAATGCTTCTTGGGTATGGGCTGAACGGGTTAATGTTGTCGTTCCGCCATTGTATGTACCACCGCGGCAATCCATCAGTCAGCCAATAGACAAGGTTGCTGGACCTTGTGGTCGTCGTATTCATGTAACTAGTTGAAAACAAAAGAATCTTTATTGGCCTACTCAATGATAGGGCTAGCCTCAATTGAAACCGAAGTTGTTTATAATTCCTCAAGACGCTATGTATAACAGTCTTTCCAATTTCCACTCCGACGTAAAGTCTTGAACTGTACACCATCCAAGGCCGTCAACAGCACACCCTTGAAACGGGACGACGCGCTTACTCACAATTACACGAATGAACTCATCATCACGGCAAACCATCTTCTCGATATACGCGCGTGCGGCAAAAGGCACTACCCAAGAGGTAGAAAGCCCACCCACATCTACGGTAGCCTGTGCTTCTGACTTAGACAGCTCATCATGGTAAAGACCCATGGCAGAAAATACAGGAATCATGCCATTGTCATGTGTGAAATCCGGATATATGGCTCGGGCTACCGGGAAAGTAGAGGCACCCGGCTTGTCGAAGGTGTGATTTACTGGTTTTTGGTCAGAGACCGGGTTTCTGTTAAGACGGACAACAAGCTCATTGAGAAACCGATACCTTGGCCTGGACCAAGTGGGTTTCTATACCCAAACGCTCAATACTTGCTCAACGATTGGGCGTAGTCGAACTTAATCCAGTTAAGCTCGGCGAAAATATCGCAAATTGGGGGTTTCTCTCTTGCATCTGGAGTTGCAGCGACGGCGTCGAAAGCGCAAAGCTCCATCAATTCGATAATGTCGTCGTCAGAGAAGCCCACAACAGGAAACGTGCTTTTGAGTCGATTTTGGATTGATGGCACAAATGTCTTCGAGTATGCGTTGGCAGAGTCTCGTTGAATAGGTTTCTTCATCTTTTCAAACTTTGGACAGGTATTGTGGTTCAAGATATTATTAAAACCCTTAGTGTCGAAGATGATAGCACCAACCTCTGGAGTGGCTCGGCCACTTTTTGCGCTTGGATCCTGTCCTTTGGTCTGCTGTAAGCCTTTGAGACAACCTTTTTTCGCGGATTCCATCACGCGGCCCGAGCTTGTGGATCGTATAAAAGGCGTGTGTTCTGAAGCCAGGCCCGAGTATCGCTGGTAAAACCGAATTCCCGTGTTGACCAGCTGTTGTTCACCAAAGGGAACAAGAGAATCCGTGCCCAAAGGATAAGTAATTTTTGAAGAAAGTCGTGTCTCCCATCAGCTTGTGGCGTCTTTCTTGATTCTATCAACCAGGGAACGATACTTTTTACCTTTCCCTTTAATTGGGTACCATGTGCGATGGCGTGAAATCGTTTGTACAAAGGTAATCTGACACTGTTCGGGTAATTCGTTCAAGATCCCCTTAGATTCAACGGCGAAAAAGGGTGCGTATGGGCCCCATCGATGCGATGTTTCCGTAAAGTACTGAAAGCCGTCTTCGGGACTGTCGCAAGCTTTGTTGTTTCGTGCAACCCTTCGAGGAAGCGGCGAAGAATCCTTAGATTGAGAAGAATCAGATAATAAAGAGGTGATGGTAGAACTCTAGAAACCCATACGGTCTCATGCAAAGTATACGAGACGGTCAAGGACATTATGCAACAGAGCATACCCATGCTCGCCATTGCCCGCCCCTGGAAAAAACTTAGTCAATGGTTGCATTTTGGGTTCATCAACCTTGGAGATTTATCCTGTCAAATGCGGTCCTAGACCACTCTTTCTTTGATTTTTAGTTCAAAGGTGGAGCTAGATATGATTCCTCCACAGCCGGATCACCTAAGGATGGAAGGTATAAACAGCGCAAAGAGGGACTAATAATGTAGACAGATTTAGTAAGAACTATAAAAAAGAGATATACAATAAAAGGTTTAAAGGGCTAGAATAGGCATTATCTAAGAGACTCTTCTAAATAGCTTACACTCCTTTCAGTCTCTGGTAGACGATCCCACTAGTTAAATGGTGGAGTGAAATATAGTTCTACCATAGCCTAATGATCTTAGGACGAAAGGTACGAAAAGGGTAAAAAGAGCAGGGCGGACAGATTTTCTAATGTAATAGAAAAGAAACATGAAACAGAAGGATGGCGAGGATGAACCGGCTGCACCACGCACACGTGAGAAGGTCCTGAATTCCACAGGATAAAAGGCCAATTTAGGAGAAAAAAATAATGTCAATAATGATAATACTAATTAGGAAGTAAGAAAGATAAACGCCTGGCGCTCTCTCGGTGTCTTCGGGATTCAACGCCCGACAGGTCCAGGGGAACCAATCAGAACACTTGGAATATTACGTGGTCAGGCAGCCATGGATAATCAGGCATATTATACCATCTTGGGTTGTTTCACCCTGAGGCGTTAACTGCAAGTAAGATCCAAGGTCCAGAAAACAGGTCAGGGGGACCCCCCTTTAGCTCTCAGTAGTATGTGGGGCGTTTATTTGCCTAAGGCCAAAATAGATTTTATCCCTCCCCTATTTTATTTACCTTACTTTACCTTCCTTCACCTCTCTACTGTACCTACACCTCTAATACTACTTTTTTACCAGTTTTTTATTACAATCCGATATCATACCGTCCTATATTGAGAGTATAAGTATTATATCTCTCAGAAATTCGATTATACCCATCGAGAATAATAAAAAAGGATAATTTAAAACAAAAGCTAATAATTTTAGGTAAAGTCCGTCTTTTAGTAGTATAAATTGTTGAAAAACAGCACCGATCTCGAGCTACCTATTATCTATACTAAGGTATACCTTTATACTCTCTTCTCTCGAATCCCTTATAAATATACTAGTTAGATATTAATACAAAATAGGAAAGATACTTAGTACCTACTATCTTTACTATAGTAAGGCTTTTTGCTAGACGTCTAGATATAGCAAAAAGGTAAATATTAAGAGTATTTCTTTAAGTCTTATTCTTAACGGGATTTACTAGTAATTAACTAGTAAATAATATCATCTAGAGTATAAATATATATTTACCTCAGGGGTATAACACTTATACAGAAGCTTATTATCCCTACTCTCAAAGAGCTCCTTATCTTCTTAATTATCAGAACTGTCGATCGAAGGCCTCTTATAAATATCGATTAGATCTTCGATTCTACAGTAGTATAGCGATATCGCTACTAAACAGAAGTATACTCTGTTATAGCGTAGTTAAAAATAGAAAACTAGTAAATTAATAGAAAATACTAGTATTATTTATTAGCTACTATAAAAAAAAACATAATATTTCAAGAATATAATAGCCCTAGATACCATATATTTCATACTGTGACCGATATTATATAAGCCAATTACAGCATATACTACTGAGAAGTCAAGGGGGACCCCCTTGACCCTTTTTTCTGTCCAAGGTCGCCACTTGACCATCGCCGTGTCACCATCACCGGCATCGACGTGATCATCCATTTCTTGGGTAATCAACTCCCCGAGAAAGAGAATATGAGTGATTAAAGGCATGCGTGGATAAGGGTTCATTAAGACCACGTTCTTCGTTGACAGAGCACTTTTCCCACCCCCACTTCGCAAAGGCCTGGGAAAGAGAGAGGGCGTGTCACTCATCTTGATACCCGAAGAAGGTTCAAATTGGCTGGTCATCAACGTTATTTGCGGAGATGATAGGTGGCCCAGGGCAAACGCTCTTCCCCATGGGGCCGCTCGGCAGGGGTCGGCAAAGCGTTTTGCCTTGGAATGACGCATGGGTCATCGTCATTTGACGACTCCCTCGCCATTCCACGGGTTCCACCAGATAGATCCGTGGAGTAACGCCAGCTGGGGCACTCTCCAGACTTTTCGCCAACGCGTGGCAGCCGTCTGTGGAGAGAAATGGGGAAACCCTTCTTCCCCAGCTTCCCCCATGGCAGACAATTGGGGGAAAGCCCCAGGATATAATTAACATCTCCCTGACTCCCTCTCAAGTGTGCCATCTCCCTGCACCCCCAGCCACGAAACCTTCACCATGAGTATCCTCGCCCTCGTCGAGGACCGGCCCACGCCCCGGGCAGTCTACAACTGGCGAATCTACTTACTCGCCGCGGTCGCATCTTGTGCCTCATGTATGATTGGATACGACAGTGCTTTTATTGGTCAGACAATCGAGCTGGACTCGTTCAAATCGGAATTTCATTTCGGTGACTGGTCTGACGCCAAAGTCGACCTGGTGAGCGCCAATATCGTCTCTTTGTACCAGGCAGGTGCTTTCTTCGGCGCGCTCTTTGCCTACCCAGCCGGATATTTCTGGGGTCGCAAATGGGGATTGTTGGCCTCGGCCATGGTGTTCACGCTTGGCTCCGGGCTGATGCTTGGAGCTAATGGTGAGCGGGGCCTCGGGATCATGTATGCTGGCCGTGTTCTGGCCGGAATCGGGGTAGGCGCTGGATCCAATTTGACCCCGATTTATATCTCTGAGTTGGCACCACCCGCCATTCGAGGTCGCCTCGTCGGTGTGTATGAATTGGGCTGGCAGGTTGGCGGCCTGGTCGGGTTTTGGATTAATGTATGCAAGACCCTCATGTAACCCAAAAGACCACGCGGAATTGACCCTCCCTGCAGTACGGAGTATCCGAGACCATGCCGGCGAGCCATAGGCAGTGGATTATACCATTTGCTATTCAGCTCATCCCAGGAGGTCTGCTTCTAGGTGGTGCTCTCTTGATCAAAGAGTCGCCTCGGTGGCTGTTCTTTCGTGGGCGGCGTGAGGAAGCTATTCAGAACCTCTGCTGGGTGCGACAGCTTGACGAAAACGATATATATATGGTTGAGGAGATTGGTGCCATCGACCAAGCCCTGGAGGAACAAAAGGGAACGATCGGAATCGGCTTCTGGAAACCCTTCCAGGCAGCCGCCACCAATCGCAGGGTGCTCTGGCGCTTGTTCCTCGGCTCCTCCCTTTTCTTCTGGCAAAATGGATCTGGAATCAATGCCATCAACTACTACTCCCCTGGCATATTCTCCTCGGTGAGTTCCCCCTCTTCCTCTACCAGCACGTACGGTAAATTCGTCTGCGACACTGGATGGGAGGCTGACAATATGTATAGATCGGAATCACGGGGTCGACCAATCAGCTTACAACGGGCATATTTGGCGTAGTCAAGACGGTGATGACCATCGTCTGGCTCTTGTACCTGATCGATTACCTCGGCCGACGATTACTATTGATCATCGGCGCTCTTTCCGGGTCGGTTTGCTTGTGGATCATCGGCGCTTACATTAAGGTGGTGGACCCAGAGAACAACCCGACACCTCATCTTACTAGCCCCGGCATCGCGGCTGTATTTTTCTTCTACCTGTACACGGCATGCTATACCCCTTCATGGAACGGAACCCCTTGGGTTATGAATGCAGTATGTGAAGACCCTTTCCACTGAATGTGACTTCAACGGATTTGCTAACGAAATCCCAGGAAATGTTCGACCCCAACATGCGATCGCTGGCACAGGCGTGTGCATCAGCCAGCAATTGGCTGTGGAACTTTTTGATCTCTCGGTTCACTCCCCAGATGCTGTCCAAGATGGGTTATGGCACGTACTTTTTCTTTGCGAGCCTAATGGTTTTGGCCACCATCTATGTTTTCTTCTTGATCCCAGAGACCAAGGGTGTGCCGCTGGAGGTGATGGACCGCCTCTTTGAAGTCCAGCCAGTGTGGCAGGCCCACAGCCGGATCATGACGCAGTTACATGATGACGAAGATCAGTTCCGACACGAACTGCAAAAGAATATCGCGGAAGAGAAAGGCTCGCCAGAAGAATTCATCGAAAAAGCGGATGACTGACCTTAGCTGTGGAATCCCACGCCAAAGCATATTTGTATGTACCCATATAAATGAAGTTATTTTGACCTAAGAACCCCTTAGTATCTCTTCTATGATTGCCCGGTTGAAGTTGCCGTGGCAAATACACTCAAAAACTTTGTCCTAGACTAGGTTGGATGCAGGTTCCTGAGTCCTGGGAGAATAAATCGTGATATGGGATCAGTCGAGGCATTCAGGACACCCGTTACTGCCTTGCTGCCCGAGTCATCAGGCCATCAGGCCATCAAAGAAAACCAGTGATGGCAGAATCGGCGGGCGGTGGGACTCGTGATGTCACCTACAAGAACGAGATACCTTGAACTCACACAGAGCAACTCAGTGCGACCATGGGAGGAGGCGATAGCTTGCCTGTGGATTCTGCCCCTAGGGGCCTGAAAGAACCTTTACGGGCAGCTCAAAATGGGAATTTCCATGCTGTGGTTGATCTGGGCAGGTAAAGGCCAGCCAAGAGCCCCGGTACATTGAAGCTCACTGATATTTTGCTAGCAATGGCATCCGGTGCTCGATCTCAGACCTCTCTCTTCCCACTACGCGCGTGATCCCAACGGTTCATTTTCACCGGGTCAATATTTCCCTCTACGAGGCACAAATCGATCCTGATTCAGGATGTCGTATTCCAATCCCGCGGGCCGTGATTGAGCGGGTCGTTAGCGCCATTGTTCGATTTCAAGTCATTTGTGTCGAACTTGGAGTTCCCTCGGAGAATATCCGGATTATTGCGACAGAGGCCACGCGAACCGCCCTCAACGCCGAGGCTTTTATTGATGCAATTCACGCCACAACGGGCATCGCTGTGGAAGCACTACGGAAGGAGGAGGAAGGGGTTGTCGGTGCGTGGGGCATCGCGAGCAGCTTTTCAGACGTGGAGGGATTGGCCCTGGACCTAGGTGGTGGGAGTATGCAGATGACTTGGATTACCTCCCACGCGGGCAATGTGCACATCAGCCCTCAGGGATCCGTCAGCTTTCCTTATGGAGCCGCGGCTTTGACACAAAAACTCGCCGATTTGAAACGCGGAAAAAGCAAAGGGGAGGCACGCAAAGCCAAAGAGGAATTCCGCCTGGAGATGGCGGAGAAATTCCAGACTGCCTTTGACGAACTTGATATCCCCGAACACCTCGTGAAGAAGGCTCGAGAGAAAGGGGGGTTTCCCTTATATCTGTCCGGTGGGGGCTTCCGGGGCTGGGGATATCTATTGCTCTATCTGCACCAGACGCAGGGCCGTAATTATCCCATCTCTATCATCAACGGATACTCTGCCCCAAAGGAAGACTTTGAAAACACAGAGGCTCTCAAGGAGGTGGCCCGCACGGCGCACCAAATCTTCCGGGTATCCGATAGGCGGCGCAAGCAAGTGCCTTCTGTCGCATTCCTCGTTAACGTGCTCGCCGAGTCGTTGCCACACGGCATCAAGGAAGCCCACTTTTGCCAAGGAGGTGTTCGGGAAGGCGTGCTGTTTCGCGAGATGCTACCTGTGGTTCGCCAGCAAGATCCTTTGGAGGTGGCCACAGCCCGATATGCACCTTCTTCGACGCAAACGCTCGCCTCTTTGATCCTGGCTGCGCTTCCTCGACCATCCGCTTTGCGATCTATTCCCGCTTCCATCAACCTGCACCTCGTCCAGGCGTTTGCCAATGCCCTCTACGTGCATGCGACCATGTCCAAGGAGTTGTCCTCAAGTGCCGCTCTTTACAGTACAAGCACTGGAATCTTGGCCTCCACCCACGGAATCCCCCATGCTCATCGTGCACTCCTCGCCTTAATGCTCCAGGAGCGATATGGTGGAGAGCTCCCACCACGAGACGTGGACTTGAAGCAACATCTACAGGGGATCCTCGATCCAGAGGAGGTCTGGTGGACCCGTTATCTCGGCAAACTGGGTCTCGTCCTGAGTCAGCTCTATCCGACCGGGTCTATTGACACGTCCAAGCCCCGTATTGTTCCGTCAGCCCAGTGGGTGAAGAGGCTCGGCAAAAAAGGGAAAAAGGAAGGCCTCGAGCTGACGATTTCCCTTCAAAAAGTTGTCTATGACCCGACGCATCTCAAGGAAGAGTTGGAACGAGACGTGCAAAAGATCGAGAAAGTGGGGAAGCGAAAGAATTGGATTGGTGGGCGCGATGGTTGGGGCCTTAAGGTCCGAGTCGTCGTGGAGGAAGAGGATTTGCTGCCAGCACCAGATGCCCCGTCTAATGCGTAAACTAACGGCTCCAAAGGGCGAGTCCGGCATTGCATTTCGTTTGTAGATCTTCATTTCCACCCGGACAAAGCCCGGACCAAGCTTTGTAGGAGAGTGGCGTTGGCTTAGCCAGACAGGACGGTGTGATTTTTCTGGGTTCTGCATATCGGGAAAATTCGCAAAACGAAGGACTTACTGCGCCTCCATTGATTATGGGTCTGCTTAAGGAGCCGAACACTTAGAAGCGTCGTTTGGACCGAGAGGACTGGTTACATTCCCAAGAGATAAGGGAGGGGGGGGGGGAGGGGGCAATGACATCCTGGCCGTAATATATAAACACTTATACTTTGAGCTTTATATCATGATCTAGCACTGGCATTTTGCGCGAGAAATTGTCTCAGCCGACTAGGTAGATATAAAAAAACTTGCCGAAGGATCTAGGGCGGAAGCTTAGCGCCCTATAGAGCAGACCTGTAGGGCTGGTCCATCGGCCCTCGTCCGAGTCAAGCGACAGATGTGTATACTATCCATCTTATCTGATGCCCCTTATTTATCTGATCCGTTTCCCTCTCGCTCATTCTCTCAGCTTACTCCTAGATTTGAATATTTCAAATACAACATAGAAGCAAAGGGCATCGACGTCCAGGAAAAGCGTCTCCATGACCATCCCACTGTAGATACTTGTAAGTCTCTGGGGCAGGGGGAAAAGTAGGAAGAAAAAGATTTGTGTGGCCTTGTCCTCCCAAACTCATCTAACCACATTACAGCCGACACCGATTCCCAGAGCGATGTCTTGCGAGCCGCTGGCATTGGCATCACCGAGAATAACCCGACTGAACCCGTTCTCACTCTGCGCATATGGGTGCTGGGCGTGGTCTTCTGCATTGTTGCCTGTGGTTTAAACATATTATATACCCTCCGTTCTCCTGTTGACCTGTCCTCTGGGTACATGGTCTTTCAGCCTCAATCCGGGCCCATTCAACACCAAGGTATCTTTACTCTCCCATAAATACAAGAGTTATTGACTCCCCTCTGACCGCGCTGTCTTTAGGAATATGTATTAATCTACGTGATGTCCAATCTCAGCATCTATGTCCGACTTGGGGCCGACGTGTTGACGGAACAGGAGATGTTCTATGGATATAAGGCTGGCTGGGGATTTCAATTTCTCATCACATTGGCCACTTTTTGATTGGATTCTGCCTTGCTGGCCTCTTTCGTGCAATCGTGGTTGTTCCCCGGGAGTTGATCTGGCCCGGAGTGCTTAGTTTAACCGCTCTTACCACCACATTGCACTATGTCAACCAGGGTGAGGTCCAAGCTAGGTAAGCTTTGGTTTATGATTGCCCGTTATTTCAAGTTCACAGATTATAGGCACAATACTTGGAAAATTTCCCGCTACGCCTTTTTCATTACCGTCTGCTGCGTTTCCTTTTGCTGGTATTGGTTCCTTGATTTCATCTTTCCAGCACTGAGCTATTTCAGCTTTCCCTGTTGGAGTAAAGCGGAAAGCCCTGTAGTCAATCAGCTGTTTGGCATGGAGTCTGGGATGGGTCTCATTCCCATTACCTTTGATTGTGTGTCTCATAACCACAGTTGGAGAATGGCTGCTCACAAGATCCCAGGGAGCCAAATTTCCTACGTCGGTTCGCTCTTGCTCATCCCATCATGGGCAATTCTCAACGTCTCTGTGTCACTGGTCTTCTGGATCTGGATCGTGGCGGTGGCTGGCTACTATACCAATATGTGGAATACAGGGTATTTGCCCTTCCAGAGCTCCAAAGGTATAGAGCCTACTCGGATACCATATCTGACTACAATAGAAGTCCTAACAGAGGTAAATAGTTTTTGACAATACTGGGAATGTCTATAAAGTGAAAAAGATTGTGGATGCAGCGACCGGATACAAACTTGATGTGAACAAGTACTTGGCTTATTCTCCGGTATGATTTGCTGGTTCATTGAACGGATTAGCCTAGTTCTAATGCCGATATACTTAGGTTTATATGCCTATTACCTACGCGTTGAATATGTTCGGTTTCTCGTTCGCGACACTCAGTGCACTCCTTATTTGGATCATCCTCGAACACCGCCACGTTATGGCAGATGTTGCCCGAAGATTGCCTCGACTAATTATGCAGTCTTTGACGGGGCGCCCCTAGCCTAAAGGTGAAGAAGAGACGGGGGATTCCGATGTCCCTCTCTAGTAGTATCTGGTGGGATGCGTTTAGCCTTATTTATGTCGATCTTTGCAGTCGAACACTGGAATGCCGAACTCAAATGGTATGGTGTCCTACTGGCCTGTGCAGTAGCATTGGTCTTCTATCCGCCGGTAATTCATCCTGCCCCTTTATTCACTCTCGGGGTTCCTTTGACCCACAACCAGCTTGCTATTGTCTATGCCACCTCCAACCTCAAGATCAATATTGACATTTTCTGTCGCATCGTTGCCGGTTTTGTATTTGAGGGCCAAGTTCTTGCCAACATTTGGTTCTTTGACTTAGGGTACATCACGACCATCAAGGGACTATATTTCGCACAGGATATGAAGCTGGCCTACTACTGCCATGTGAGCCCTACATGTTCCACGTTCATTGTGCGACTACTGACCACAGGCCAAGATTCCACAACGGAAGCTGTTTCTCGTTCAGTGTGTCGGCATTATTGTGGGGCCTCTTTCTTCGCTCGGCGTGCTTAATTGGGCTCTCAACCACATTGGCGGAATTTGCACAAGCGATGCCCCCAATGGCTTTAGTTGTCCATTTTCCAGCACTCATTTCAATACCTCACTGATATGGGGTGCAGTTGGACCCCGCCGTTATTTCTCTAACCACGTCGGCTACTTGGCCTTGCTGTATTTTTTCATAATTGGTGCCATTTTGCCTATTCCCGTCTATTTTCTGAGCCGTCGATATCCGGACTCTTCGTGGAGACGGGTTCACATCCCGTTGTTTATTGGCGGTTTGAAACACCTGCCGCCAGCAACAGGAATGAACTATGGTAGCTGGGCAGTGGTTGGACTCGCGTTTGGCTGGGTTATCCGACACTGGTTCCATAGCTGGTGGAGTAAGTACAATTTTGTTCTGAGCTCTGCGATGGATTCCTCTTGTCAGCATTGCCGGCGTTGTGATCTTCTTAACCATCTTCTTCACGGGGGCAAGTAAGAACTTCAACTGGTGGGGCACAGAAGTTTACAAGGTGTGTCTAACCTATTTTTGCTCTCGGTTCTGTCTTGCTCATATCATACTAGAATACCTGCGATTGGAAAGGCTGTGCGCATCTCCCACTGCCAGGGGGCGGTAAGTTTGGCGTGTAGTTGGGTGCCACTACATAGGGCTTTCACCTCCATGTCTTCGAGCCTGTCGTAATTGTGTACTCCCTTGCGGGAGATCAATTCAGAACGCATGATATGTAAATAGCCGAAGTCTAGAAAAAAGCTTGGACAGGTGATAGCAGTGGTCATTTTATACCCAGAGCTGGAGCAAGCCAAAGTAACGAGGATCTCAAAATCCCCACTGCAAGGAAGTCGAGCATCACGTCTGTAGGACCTCTTCAATATATCAATATATGTCGCATCCGCAACGCTCGTGGGCCCATTATAGCACTACGATCGGCATCATTGGGCCATGTGCTTGAGTAGGTGATGTCGCGACAAAGCAGCCTGCATTGGGTGTAATTTTGGCGAAACTGCAAGTATTCGATGGGGACAAGTGGATCGCGGGGGGGTCGCCGATATCGGCTGATTGATTAGATCATGAACCAGATTGCCTGGAGATGAAGATGGTGATTAGTGGTAATATTATTTCGAGTAACCCTAAGTCAGTGAGATATAAGACGGGTGATAAACTGAATTCATGAGCAAAGCATCGCAAAGCCTCCGCGGGTCCTGGCAAACGAACGTGCAGATGATCCGGGCCACCAGCCCGTAGCCCTGGCCAAGGTCCACTCCCAAGAGCCGAAGAATTCTCACGCATGTCCCAGGGCTGAGTTACCGAGGTAACTTACCCACCGGATGAAACCACCAGAAACTCCGCGATCAAGTCTGCAGACGAGCTATCTGATCCTGAGTGGGTCACTGGAAATTATTGCTACCCCGTAGTACACAAGAATGACAGGAGCCGGGCCTAGCTCCCTTGAAGGGAAATTTCCACGGCTGACTCTCGGTCATTTGGTAGAAACAAGAAAATCCGGGCAGAGGGTCGGAGGCAGCCGTCATCAGTCCACCGCCCCCGAGCAAGGGTCTTCTTCAAGGCAGGATGCTACCTCCTGTGCAATTCTTACGCGGCTAATACAAGGAAAAGGCAATTTTTATTATGCCCCTGTTGCTCTTTCTTTCTTTCTTTTCCCCCCGGAAAAGAAGGTCTTCACATCTTCGCGGTGGAGCCTGGCTAAGCTAATCGGATCCAAGCGACGAAATGTGGATTCTTGCCATTCTGCGCCAGCTCCAGTGGATACATCCACGGCATATCTGATCGAATACTATCTGATCCGAGGCGCGTCATGCAAAAAAATTCGCCGCGGTTTCGTCAGTCGGTCTATAAGCCGGCTGTGGCCTTCAAGGTGGATTTGTGGTTCCAATATCCTCGCCCCCTTTTTTTCCCCTTTGTTCTTGTTTTCTTTTGCTAGAAACGTAAAGATGGAAGACATGGCGACTCCTCGAAGTGTGCAACGATTGCAGCAGACGCTGTCGCACGTTCAGCACCCAATAGAATCTCTGCAGTGGTCCATTGTGACGGGGCCAACTCACCCGAAGCTTCTCGACCTCACACTCGGCGAGCTGCTGACGCTGCAGGGGCTGCAGTATGGCGATTACGAGTGTCTGGTCTTCCCATGGACAGGTACGCGCTGGACATACGGCGATCTCAAGAATGAATCGGACCGTGTGGCGCGCGGAATACTGGCCATGGGCATTCAGAAGGGCGATCGAATTGGCATCATGGCAGGAAATTGTGAGCAATACATCTCAGTATTCTTTGCTGCGGCATGTGTCGGTGCTATTCTGGTGGTCCTAAACAACACCTACACCCCATCGGAGCTTTACTATGCCCTCGATCACACGGGTAAGTGGGTGGTTGCTGCAAATGGTCGATATCCATGCTAATCCAGCCGCTCCGGAATGTCACAGAATGCCGCCTACTGTTCATGACGCCTTGCATTGGGCGCCACAACCTGGAACAAGTCCTCGCCGAGCTAGGCCCTAAACCCACACAAAAGGGGACTTCGCAATCCCTGAAGGAGATCGTGATTCTTTGCGAGCAGTATGATGGCTTCGGCACCTATGACGGAGTAATTGGTCGGGGTCTATCGCAGGCGGCGCATATCCTTCAGGACCGTGAGGCCGAATTGAGACCGGACGATGTTTGCAACCTGCAATTCACCAGTGGCTCGACAGGCAATCCCAAAGCCGCCATGTTGACTCACCAGTAAGATCATTATCTTCTTTCTCGTCATTACCGCCGTAGGACGAAGCTAACCCGCGGCCAGCAACCTAGTCAATAACTCGCGGTTCATCGGCGATCGCATGAATCTTAGCTCGTTTGATATCCTCTGCTGCCCGCCACCACTGTTCCACTGCTTCGGACTAGTCCTGGGAATGCTGGCTGTTGTGACGCATGGATCCAAGATTGTCTTCCCGAGCGAGACTTTTGATCCCAAGGCCGTGCTGCATGCAATTTCGGACGAAAAATGCACCGCCCTGCATGGCGTGCCGACCATGTTCGAGGCGATTCTGAGTATCCCCAAGCCTTTATACTTTGACTCGTCCAACCTGCGCACGGGAATTATCGCAGGGGCCCCCGTGCCACGACCGCTGATGAAGCGACTGTTGGGGGAATTGAACATGACAGAATACACCAGCAGTTACGGTATGTTGAAGACGAGCGCATTTGTGTGAGCTGAATTGTTCTCGCTGATTTGATTTTCAGGACTAACCGAGGCATCCCCAACTTGCTTCAATGCCTTCACAACCGACAGCATTCACACTCGCCTGACCACTGTTGGGAAGGTGATGCCACATACCACCGCCAAGATTGTCGACGCGCAAGGAAACATTGTGCCGGTAGGCCAACGAGGCGAACTCTGTATCGCGGGCTATCAGCTCACTCGGGGCTATTGGCAAAACCCGGAGAAGACCGCAGAGACACTCGTCGCCGATAGCGAGGGTGTTACCTGGCTGAAAACGGGCGATGAAGCTTCGTTCAATGAGAACGGGTATTGCACCATCACCGGTCGGTTCAAGGACATCATTATCCGAGGTAAATCTGGTCTCTTCCCGCGTCGTCGCGTTCTGTGCTCAGTGCTGATTATTCCCAGGCGGCGAGAACATCTACCCGCTGGAGATCGAAGAACGACTGACAGCGCACCCGCGCATCGAACTGGCATCGGTAATTGGCATCCCCGACCAAAAATACGGCGAGGTGGTCGGAGCATTCATTGCAGTGGCACCGGGCGAGGGTCGCCTTTCGGACGAAGAGCTGCGTGTCTGGACGCGCGAGACACTCGGTCGGCACAAGGCACCACAGCATGTCTTTGTGTTTGGTAAGGAGAACGTATCAAGTGCGATCCCAGTGACGGGCAGCGGAAAAGTCCGAAAGGTCGAGTTGCGGCAGACGGCAGCGGCGGTGCTGGCACGACGAGAGTCTTAGCTTGTAACGTAAACAAAAGTCTAGTGTCAACCCCCAAGAGCACTTTCTGTAGTCTGCCGAGGCGCCCGATGACGCCAGATCCCTCACGGAGTGTTGGGGGTGGGCCGAAGAGTGCCATTGTGTCAGTGAGTCCGCCCTGGCAGCCCCCTTCCAAGGTTTCCATCAGATTAGATCTTGTCAGATCGACGATCGGAACGTGGTGGGTCTGGTAATACAACACTACAATCGTGAAATTTTTATGTACATTCACTTAACACTCGATAGTCATAACACACGCTAGTAACAAAACGCTCCAGCGGTTCCCGGTTCGGATCAGATACCTCCAGCAAAACTTATCGCCGATGTCGCCATCTGATAAGATGACGTGAGAGATGGAAAGAGAGAGGGAGGTGAGAGGTGAGAAACTTGGAATTCTGTCCAATTACTGAGAATGACCCCAAGTTTCAAGTGTTTCTAGAGAAAATCCCAACGTCCTGATTGCGTTATTATTGTTCTCTTGTCCTATATTTGCCCCGTTTTAATCCCAAGTGGATCGCACCCACTACATTATTTCCATCTCTACCCCTCCTCTGCCTTGATCCCAGTCCTTTCCCACCATATCCCAAGTGCTTTAGATACAACCATGCCCTCCAATGACGGCATTCCCGGAGCCCGGTCCTGCCGAGTTCTCATCATTGGCGGCTCCTATGGCGGTCTTGCCGCAGCCCTGGCGCTCAGCGATCTACCGCGGGGTCGCCTAGCTCGTTTTAACCTCAACCCTGACGCCAAACCCCACCTCAGCGGATCCCCATGGAAATCACCGTCGTGGATGAGCGCGACGGCTACTGTAAGCCTGCATTTCTGAAACACATAAGAAGGGGAGAAACCCATGCTAAATATCCATCCAGTCCATCTGATCGGCTCGCCCAAAGCCCTGGCCTGTGAAACGTTTGCCGCGACGGCATGGACACGCTTCCAGGATATTCCCGCTTTGGAATCGTCTGGCCTGAAGTTCATTCAGGGAAGTGTAAGTTCTGTCGACTTTGGGGCCAAAGTTGCCCACATCCTCGACACTCAGTCCCAGTCAAGCCGTTCCAAGCCGTACGACTACCTGATCGCGTCTTCCGGACTGCGTCGGGTCTTTCCCACTGTTCCCCAATCCCTGCGACGAAATGAATTCCTGGAAGAGGCCAACCGACACATGAAAGAGGTGCAGACGGCCCAGGAGGGCGTGGTGGTCGTCGGCGGTGGTAAGCTCTGTACGGAGATTCCCCAGCGGCTCCCAGCTGATGTATGGTGATCAGGGGCCGTGGGCGTGGAAATGGCGGCTGAATTGAAGCTTCTCGATCCAACGCAAAAGGTCACCTTGATTCACTCGAGAAAGCGTCTGCTCTCATCGGAGCCATTGCCTGATGACTTTGCCGAGCGAGTCGACTCGGTGCTGCACGAGGGCGGTGTCGAAGTGATCTTGGGGCAGCGCGTTGTCAACACAACCGCGGTGGACATGAAAGATGAGCAGCGAGTCTGGCACCTCGATCTCAGCGACGGTCGGCAGCTCACTGCCGGTCGTGTCTTGAGCGCCATTCGCGATGCATTCCCACGTCCACGTATCTGGCGCGAGAGGCTCTGAACGAAGACGGTTATGTGAAAGTACATTCCTCGTAAGGGCCTTTCTCCTGTCTGATTCTCTTGTGTCGGTTGCTCACTGACGTGCAGGTTGCAATTCTCGGGCGGGGTTCTCAACCCCGAGCATCATTACGCGGTTGGAGACATCGCAGCATGGTCCGGGATCAAGCGCTGCGGAGGTGCCATGCACATGGGCCACTTTGCGGCCACCAACATCCATCAGCACATGTTGGCCACCTGCGGCGCTGGGAAGCCCTCGTTCGTGACACTCCAACCATTCCCGTCCATTATGGGCTTGGCACTAGGCAAGAAAACCGTGTCCTACAGCCCGATCGATGGTACTCGGGATGGTGAGGATATCATGGCGAGCATGTTCGGCGGGGATATGGGAAACACGGGTAGGTGGTCTCCAGTGCCTCTTTTTGGCCGCAACCAAAGTTGACTGGAATCACAGTGTGCTGGAATTATATGCGGCTGGGAGAAGCATGCCCCGCATGATGTTGATAATTTTGCATTTCCATCCCATTTTTGGGAGTTTGGGTTATATGCCAGTGGATTCTGGTAGTTGATTCTCCCGTCCAGGGGACTGAAGTCGCCTGCCTGTCGGGCGTGGCGCTTGGGGTTCAAGAAAATGCGATATTCATGTATGGAGTCAAATGAAATGCACTCGATGTTCAACCGTCATAATTCTTGACCACCTTCCCCACGTCGACGCGAGTCACGTTGGCCCCAGCATGCCAGGCATTCCAAGGTATTCCGACCGAAGCGATCCTGTGCTCCTGGTCGAAACTGTCGACAGGAAAGGCATAAGACAAAAAAGGCCCCATGGATGGTCACCTGGGCCCCTGGGCCATACCGCGCGGTGCCCTCGCGAGGCTTCAAGCCGCACTCGATACAGAAGCGTTTGCTGCTGTTGCGCCCGGCTCGGCCTCGTCTTCGCTGCAGCATACGATCGGCAAATTGACCGGCTGGCCGCAGTCGCAAACAGTAGCGACAGGTGAAGACATCGCGGTGGCGTGCCCAGTCGGTCGACTCGGCCTGCAGCAATTCCGCGTGTGACGGAGCCGGAATGAGAGTGTAAAAGTAGGCACAGGTCAGCTTCAGCCCTAGGACATCTGTGACCAGCAGATGCTGGACGATGAGGGCATGCAGCTCGGGCGGGAGATGGAGGAGGCCGATCATGAAGAAGAGAGAGTTGCCCCAACGCGGTTTTCTGCCGTGGACCTCGGTCTCTTTGGCTTCGGTTCGTCTTTTCTCCTTCTTTTTCTCTTTCTGCGCTCTCGACGCCCTCAGAGCGGAATTGTTTTAAGCATTGCAGTTCCTTCTTACACCGCACCTCGCCACGGAAATTATCAATTCGCCTAATTGCCTTAACTCCGGCTTCTCCGGGCTTCATAACTCCTGCTCGACCCGACCTGATCAGCCGTTCTGCACACATCCGCGACCATGGCACCCTTCGGCACCATCTACTCTTACATGCCCAATCCTCGGGTCATGAAGGTACGTAACCTCGTTCCCCGGCCTATCGACACTCGCTGATGGCACACTTCACTTTCCAAAGGCCCAAGCAGTGGCCAACATCAACGGCCTGGAACTGGCAATTCACCCGAGTTTCACCATGGGCAAGACCAATCGCACTGAGGAATTCTTGAGCAAGTTTCCCCTGGGCAAAGTACCCGTCTTCGAGGGAGCCGACGGCACCACCCTATTTGAGTCGGATGCCATTACTTTGTACCTCGCCGAGAGCGGACCGGTTGTAGCGCAGCTGCTAGGCACTACACTGGCCGAGCGAGCCGCCATCCGGCAGTGGATCTGCTTCGGTCAGAGCGAAGTGCAGGAGCCAATTACGCAGCTGGCGCTGTGGCGCATCAAGCTCCGGCTCTATGATCCAGCCATCGAGGAAAGTGCGCTGCAGCGCCTGGAACGCTCTCTGACTTGCATGGAGGCTCATCTGAATGGCCGTACCTGGTTCGTCTCAGATAGCTTCAGTCTGGCAGATATCAGCTTGGCGGCGGCCTTGGTTTGGGGCTTCTCCATGGCCATCGACGCGGAAATGCGCCAGAGGTTCCCGTTGACTGTTTCCTGGTATGATCGAACCCTCTCCGTTGAGGGCATGAGGCAGGCCTTTGGGGAAAAGAACTTCGTCGAGAAGCGTCAGGTGCCCCCTGTCTAAACTCAGATGGCTACGAAGATATGTTTGATATGCAATGAAAAGAGCGTTCGGTCAGACCCTTATGGATAAAGCTGCGTAAGCACAATATGGATATCATCAGGACAAACGACTGGCGCTGAAGTGATACAATCATCAACAAGAAAAGAAAAGAAAAGAAAGACTTCCTCAGGAATTCGGTACACGTCACAGACGAGCCATCACGCTACTCTCGCCCCGCGTCTTACCCATCGCCCGCGAGATATTGCGACTGGCCCAGTCCGCGATCGCCATGTTTGTCACCATAGGATTCACGCCACTGGCGCTTGGGAACACAGACGCATCCACCACATACAAGCCGTCGGTGCCCCAGACCTGACAATCGGCGTCCACCACGCTCGACTTGGGGGATTTGCCCATGCGACATGTGCCCATCTGGTGAGCGCTGGCGAAGAGGCCTCGCTCCGGGTTCAAGGGTGACTTTCGCCGGAGCTCAGCGATCCAATTCTGCAGGGCCGCAGCATTGGTACCTTCGGGGGCGTCGAAGTTGGAGGCATCCGGGCGGATGAACGGGGGAATGTCACGGTAGGTCGTATGGAATTCTTTAGCGCCTGAGATATATGCAATCTTGGCCGAGGCAATCAGTCCCTCCACGATGTGTCGTCGGTCAAAGTTGGAGACGGTGTAGTCGATACGGCAACGCCCATCGGTCGGGTCAGGGTAGACGCGACCACCGTCCCGATCTTTGGTTAGGGTGATGAAGCTGGTGCTATTTCTCATGCCGGCAGCCCACAGCTTGTAATTCAACCCGTCCCGCCAGGGGAAAACAGGGATATACACGGAGGGCATCATCGAAACAGCCTCGATCTTCACTCCATGTCCGTGGCCGTCAAGGTCCTCAAATTCGTTGACCACCGTTGTCAAGGCTCCGCCTTCCCACGGGCGGACCTCCTCGTCGAAGACTGCACCGCCTCCCATGACTAGAAAATGACCATGAGTATCTGTGCTGTCGGGGTACTTCGCATCCAAGAGGACTTACCTGGATGAAGATGGAGATTCCGGCCAATTTGCGAGTTCTTGAGCCCACTGCGCAGCAGCAGCAAAGGGCTTTGCAGGGTCCCGGATGAGACGACCACTTTCTTGGCCTTGATAAACACCTTGCGCTGCACGGCATCCGAGCCACTGTGCCCAAGATACGAATCCCGCGATGTCCAAGTCCCTTCTACTCCAGCCGCGGTCCGCTTGCCGTTCGTCTTGGCGAACGTCACCTTATCTGCCCGGAACCCTTCGATAAACACGGCCCCGGCCTTCGCGGCATCCACCAAGAACGACTCGGTTGGGCCTTTCTTCCCTGTCGAGGCACAGCCCATAGTACAGTATCCGCAGTAGTGCTCGCCATGGCCCGTGTTCTGCGGTACCGTCTTAGCGGCATACCCCAACTTGCGGGCGCCCTCTAGGATCACACTGTTCCCGCGATTGTGATGGACATGCTCGGTATTGACACCCATACGATCGCAGACACGGTCGAGACTTTTTTGGAACTCGAGAGATGTGAAGAACGGCAGCCCGGTATCTGCCCACTCCTGACGGACATACCCCTGAGTCTGCAAAGCCGCCGACCAGTTCACGGTGCCACCACCACCCCACGTTGAACCCGCCAGAACGGCCACTGAGCCGTCGTCGCTAATGATAGCGCCAGAGTTTTCGAACATGTTGACATAACCTTCGTGCGGCGTCATGGGAAACGCCTTTGGTGAATACCAGTAGGATTTCTCGACCACCAACACCCGAAGACCCGCTTCGGCGAGGTTTTTTGCGGCCACCGCACCACCACAACCGCTACCAACCACAACCACATCGGTCTCGATGGTCTCAGGCTGGTCACCCGGTGGGAAATGCAGAAACTCATAGGGGAACCCATCAGCAGGTTTTCCATGCACTGGAACGCGTGGGAATCCAAGAACTTGGTCGATCGTCGGGCTGGAGATGACCCACGACTTCTTGACAATGGCGGTAAGGCCTCGGTAGACTGCGCGAAGAGGGGGCAGTCGAGAGCTGTCCCATCCCCGAAAGACCTTCTCTCGGTAAGCCACTGGCTGATCCTGAATGGGCGTGGTTGATCCCGTTAAAATCAACGACCCGGCCCGAGTGCTGGTAAGCCATGTCAGTCGACAAGATCAATATAGCATAGAATGGAGAACATACTTGAGTGCAGTCAGGATCATGCTGAACCCATTCTTACCCTCTGCGTGCACATAATCGCCTAGAACCCGTTCCACGCACGCCCGAAACGCTGGGTTGGATGAGGCATCCTCCTCCAAGTATTCGGTAGCAATCTTGGTGGCCTCAGGGCTGGGGATTGTCGCGGACAGTTTCGTCACTGCCGCATCCCACTCGCCAGCCGAGATCACTTTGTCGGTGCGCTTGGCTGAGTCAGGGGCGCGAATGGAGGGAATGATGGCATCGGCTAGAGCATAAAGCGTCTTCCACTGCAACTCGGAGAAGAACTGAGCTGAAGGGGCCGGAGGAAGAGGAACCTCCAGCGGAGTGTAGTTGGACATCGCCTGGATTGCCATGGTGCTCAACAGGCTATCGTATACACCGATAATTGTTAAATTGTAAACCAAGTCCGGCCGCAGAGGGGGAGGAAGTTAAGGATAGGAGTACACCGAGGGAAAATGTGGAGGAGCGTCCACCCGGTTGAGATGGGGACGCTCCGTGCTTTCCCCAGCTGTGACGATCGTGCCTGGCTCGTCCCCAACGGCAGCAGCGATCACGAAAAGCAACTGCGATTCGTCTGCAACAAACCCGGGGGAGACAGGAGCGCGGTCAACCTCGGTTGTGGATATGCGATCTTGATCCATTCTTGCGACTAACGATGTGGGCCCCCGTCGGCCCTCGACCAGTCATTGACTCGAGTCAGGAGTCCGACGATCATCGGGCTTCATTCTCACAAGTTGCGGGGCGTCTAAGCCGAGCTCCAACGCCATGTGAAGAATTCCTGCGGTTGGACGTGAGTTTGGTCCACGGTTGATCGGTGTGGAGAGGAGCTCATCGTGGGGTCAAAAAATAGTCCTAAGATGATCCCCGCGATGTCCCCGGCTGAAGATTGAGAGGCCAGGAGCAGAAGAGAGAGTGAATCGTGGACGTCCAGTGAGAGAAGTGGATGGTCCTTGGTGGTTGGCGATGGAGAAATCCCGGGCGATCTCGGGCGGTGCACGGCCTCTTCCTTTCAAACACCTTCGCCATGGAATCGAGCTCCAGCAGGTCGACTCTGCCGTCTGAGAAGGTCTTCTCCATTCAAATTGGCTCGAAGCTATTTCGTCTCTCGGGCGCTTCCATCGCCTCGGACGGTCAGTCAGCTCCACTTGGGTCTCGTACGCACGACTGATCGCCGGGCAGCTCCCTCCTACTTCTCGCGCTTCTTCGAGGAGCAATTGCGCCACGATGCCTCCAATATCAGAACCCTCTACATTGATCGCGATCCGGTCACTTTTGGCGACATCGCCAGACACCTTCAAGGTAGATCTGACGCGGGTCGTCCATCAACACGCGCGAAGACTGACGGGGAAATCCAGGCTATCATGTCCGACCTAGGGATGGCGCGCAATTCGTGAAGCTTTTTGCAGACTCTCAATTCTACTCTTGTCCGGCCACACCCCCACGCGATTTCTGTGTCGAACGCGTGCGCTGACTCGCGACAGTGCCCCGATTGATGTCCCAGCTCTTCGAATCCGAAATCTTTATACAGATCGGCGACCGCCACTTCCAGATCCCCCGAGATATCTTCTCGAGTCCCGGTGATGCGCCGAACTTCTTTACCTTGGGTTTTGCCGCATTCTTTGCCTCTCCTACTGAAGTGTTCCCCGGGCTGGACCGTCAAGGGCTCTTGCGACCCCCGGCCATTATCCCCCCGAGTGTCCCGAATCGTTCGGCTGGGGTATTCTCAGAGCTACTGCATCTACTCCGCGGGTATCCTCTACACATTCGGAACGAGGACCATCGAGCAGAGCTCCTGCGCGATGTCCGCTATTTCCACCTGCGTGGTTTGGAGCAGAAGTTGATCCCACACCAGATCACGGTCAATCCCTTCAATCAGCGTTCCGAGATTGTCATTCGACTCGAGGATGTGCGGCCCTCTGGCGTTCAGTTTGCTCAGGACGTCCCAGCTGGATCCTTCCCAGGTGGATCGGTCATGTATGTACGTCCCTTTGTGGATGACAATCCCGCCGACTTGATCCTGGAGATAGGCGACGAGTCCACCGTGGTCGATCAGGAGGCAATGAGGGCCGACTTTCTGGATCTGGCCAAATCACGCATCACGAGTCTATTACAAGTTGTGGCCAAAAAGATGAATTTGCCCGAATCACAATCCCCCATGGTCCCGATCTCAATTCGCTTAGTGCACGAGACCGATCTCATAGCCAACGGTGAACTAGGGGGTACGCTGGGCGTCAAGGCTGAGTTGGACGCAGATACTGCGCCCCCAGCCAAGCGCGCGCGATCCGATGACTCGGCAGACGCTCTCTGGATTGTTCGAACGGGGCAGTGGAGATTACGAGTGCAACCCAAGACAACCGGGGGGTTCGACTTTTTTCTGGTTGCCGTGAAACTCGACGTCTTTAACAGCCCGCGAATCCGCAACCGCTCTCGAACCTTCCTCTAAGACGGAGATGCTAAGTTAGGGGTGTTTGATATAATGGTTAGGCAGTCACACAATCTAATCTAATCTGAAAAGCCCTCCCATTCGTCTTCGCCGTCGGAGTCTGTGATTCCCGTAGCGCGTGCACCTTGGGGATCGCGGACAAACCCAGCAATGAAAAACCCACCCAGCCCTTCGGCATCGCCCGGCCAGCAGCGCAAACAGGCCTCCAAGGCCTCATCGGGGAGGTCCACTGCAACCGATCCGCGGTCCAGCTTGGGATCAGTCTCGCCTTCTCGGTCCTGTCGGACACCCCGATGGGTCCATCGACGTAGTCCATCAGGTTGCTCGTCGCGCCGAAGGAGGCGCCAGCCACCGTGCTGAGCCACCTCAGATGCCAGGACGCGGGCTACGACGGCCTCGTTTTCAATCACATGAATAGAGCAGGTACTGTATGTGACGTGGGTGGCACCCGAAAACCCCAAAGCGTGTTCGACAATGCGTGCTTGGAGATTCGACAACTTAGTGAGACGCTCGTGGTCGATGGCGCCAGTCGGGGTATCATTCTCGTCTGTCGCCGAGGCCCTTGGAACGCCCACCGTTGCCTTTGATTGTTGAGTATCTATCTCATTTTCGCGATCATCCGCTCGGCGTTTTCGCTTTTTCCCCTGAGGTTTCGATGACTTGCTTGAGGTTGCGGGCAATGTAAGCTGTGGGACATCGTCTCTGCCGATGATGCCACTGCCAGAACAGCTGGGGTCCAGCAGGAGACCAGAAACATGCTCGAACTGGGGATCTACCGGATCTAGGGCAAGGAAATCCTGGCCGGGAAGCACGGTCACGGTACGGTCCGCCCCGGCCAGCGAGACCATCTTCTGCAACGTTTTGGAGCGCACGCGAGATGCATCCATAGAGAAGATTCGGTGTGGGGTCTGCTTCTTCTTCTGTTGCTTGGCCAGAAGAGAAGCCAAATGGGTGGTTTTATTGCCTGGCGCCGCACATCCATCGACAAGATCGCCCGCCCATGGTTTTTGAGATCCGCGATCCCCGAGCAGCAGATACGCCGGGAAACACGACGCTTTATCCTGGAGAATAATCTCGCCATTTTTGTATGCGGTGGACGCCGTAAAGTCCGCACCGAAAGGCACCGCCACCAGATCCGGGATGTTAGGGTCTAAATACAGACGCGGCTCGGGCTTTCGGCCTGAGAAGTCGCCCTCATCCTGTGCCAGGCCCTGCAGAGTGTCGACTCGTTGGTAGGATGAGAATGTTGTGCGCAGCTGTTCCTCAAGAGAAGTACGGATATTGTTGATGCGTACCCAACGCGGATAAACCCAATTGGCCGTGCCATTGGCCAGTCGCTTCTCGCGGAGTACGGCTGCCTTCAACTGTTCGACGGATGCGCAGCCGCGGCGGACACGCGCCTTGGTGAACTCGGCCTTGAGGCGGTTCTTATGCCGCTCGACAGCTTGGCGGATGGGGTGGGCCGCCGGGGCGGCAATGCCATTCTTGGACAGTAGGTGGTCATGGACGAGGAGCAAGGCGAGATGGGGAGTGAGCTATAGAACACACATCTCACTTGGTCAGTCAGCAAGTAACTCCCAGTGGGCCTCAATCGGTAGACTGTCTCACCTTGCGCTCGAGAGAAAGAATGTCTGCGTGCTCAATGACTTCGCTCAGCACTCGGTCCCATTTAGAGGCCTCGGTGATCAGTGCATAGATCTGTGCCGGCGACGCACGCAAATCGCGGGCACTATAGATGCGCGACTTAAAGGATCCTCCCGCGGAGGGCGCGGTCAAGAGAGCAACGGCATCGAAATAGAGGGACATCGAGGCCAAGATCTGCGCAGAGGAAAATGCGAGGCGGCGACGATTTTGGGGTTTGATGTGTTTGGTTTGTTTGCATGTGCCACTTCGCGTGCAATTGAGGGACTCGATCGATTTGTGGATTAAGATGGTGAAAATAACACAAATTTGGAGTTATTTTCCTAGAAAGACAAGGTTGAAGAGCAGGATTAGGTAGCTGTTTTTTATCTTCGGCTTCCAGCTTTTTCACGGTGACTTAGGGGCAACAATGACGTCTCAGGAGGGCATCTACGTCCGATGTATATATATTTGTCTTTGCCCGACCCCTCCACCATCTATCTCCACCACCACTCCATTGAATGAACCAAATATTGAGAACAGTTCAGAATATCTCACTTTACCACCATGACATCGAATACCATATTGACAACAAAAATACAACCACCACCCGGGCCCAATGCCAAGTTGGTCCTCCCAGCGACCAACTCACATACCGCCACCAACCCCACCATTTTCAACGACGCAATGGCCGTACGGATGCCAGTGTTCGTAAATGAGCAACACTGCTCGGCTGACGCAGAGATCGACGACGACGACGCCCGCAGCTGGCACTGGGTGTTGTACGACTCCTCGGGGACGAGGACGACGCCCGTCGGAGTGATCCGGCTAGTACCCCCACCACAGCCGCCGTATGCGCGGGTCGCACACCCCGAAGCAGCCGAGGATCTGCCCGAGTACGACTGGGCGCATGAGCCGTGTATCAAGCTCACGCGCGTGGCGGTTCTGCCCGCCTATCGGGGCAAGGGGCTGGGGCGGCGGCTCGTTGAGACGGCGCTGGAGTGGGCGGGCACGCATGCAGCGGAAATTGATGCAGCAGCAGCAGAGCGGGCGGCGAGCGCGGGTCGCACGGACCCTCCGCCGCATTGGCGGGGCTTGGTGCTGGTTCATGCGCAGGTGGAGGTGGAGCGGATGTATACTGGGTTGGGATTCCAAACGGATCAGGCGCTAGGGCGGTGGCATGAGGAGGGGATCGAGCATGTGGGCATGTTTCGACGGATGGCAGTGCCTTAGACTAGAGTACGAGATACAGCTTGTGGGAAGTAGACGAACTGGGCAATATGTCCTATACATCTACAGAGAAGATACGAAACACATTCAAGATATTCATGAACAACTGAATTCATCTCGGGGGACAGTGGTGCACCCCGTGCCATTCCATCGTCGAGCATCGCGGATCAAGCACCAGTAGAGAAAAGACAAGATTCAAATGAGATCGGCCGCTCAAGAGAAATGACGGGGTATCCTGATCAACGCAGTAAAAACACAGAAAACAACACGTTAAACCCAGACGTGAGTCAAGCCAGTAACCGTGGCGAACAGCAGAAAAAATTAATGCCCGGGGCTCGAAGACCCATAACTCCGAAGTCATAAGAAACCAAAGGGAAATTCCGCAAAGAAAAAAAAGACACAAAGATGGCTCTAGAAATGGAGGGGAATATCGAAATGAAGAATGAAACTCAAATCGCAGTCAGACCCGCTGGCCGCAACGGAACCGAAGTGGAAGGCAATTAGAAGGTGCTCCAATTCCAGTCGCGCGGCACGCTGGCAGCAACATCAGCGGACTGGCCCAGATTGGACTGGATATGAGAACGCTCGGAAGCATCAGCCGTGTTGAGAGCATTGGAGTCGTTGGACTGCGTCACATTCCCGGACTGGCGGGCATCAATCGAGCTCTGAATCTTGCTCAAGCGGTCGGTGCGGGTCTCTTCCCAGCGCTGGTAGGCGCTCCAGCAGAGATCGCAGGCCCGCGAGGGGACCCCCTCCGGATGGAAGCGAGCATCCTGGTCGAGAGGAACGTTGTGAGGGGTGTGTGAGGAGCAGAAAACATGGCCGCAGTGACGACAGTGATGACGACGAAGGAAGAGACCGAACGAAGAGCGGCAGGTTGGCGAATCGCAGTTAGAAGAGGCCGAGTCCGCCTTGACAGTGTTAGCGTATGTGATTGTGGGTATGTAGAGGGGCAGGATGACTCGGGCACGAGCACGCAATCCACGTGAAATGACGAGCTAAGTCGACATTTCCGACCTTGCACGCGCAATCCCGGCCAGGCCTCAAGAGAGAGAATATAAAGAGAGAAAGACTCACCTTCCAGTGGTCGCGGGTCGGGAGGCCCGTCACCTCGCCCAGGTGCGCATTCTTCATCCACTCGGTCTCCGCCACCTTACTAATTCCGCCGCTGGACTTGCTCTCCATGGTCGAACGACGACTAATGGGTTCGGTAGTGTCTTCGTTCAGACTGTCCAGCGAGCCATGCACGCTGCGCGGCGGGGGTAATCGGGGATGCCTTTTGTGGGCGTTCAGTCGGGCGCAGGGCCGCGGGAACGTACAGCGGACCCTTGGGCGGGCGCAGCTGGCGGGACTGCAACGGGAGTTGGTGAAGGGCGGCGGTGGTCAGCCGAGGAGAGGTGGGAGAGTTGTTGGTCGGAGTGGTGGTGGTCGAGCTGGTAGGAGAGGGCTGACCGTACACCGAGATTTGGTTAGGGGCGGGAGTGATGGTTGAGGTCACGACGTGCGTTGCCATTGGGAAGGATGGGTACGAAGAAAGAGAGAAAGGTCGACAAAGTGGGGGGTGAGGAGGCAGAAGAAGTAGAGAGAAAGTGAGGATAGGAGTTGATTGAGGGTTGACTATGGTCACAAGAGATGATAATAAAAAGGAGAAGAAGGCAATTGTCTCTTCAGACCAGGAAGGGAGGTCGTGGGGCAAAACACGGAGAAAGTGTGGTAATCAACCTTCTCTGGCTGGTGATGCACACGACTCCGGGTCAGCGAAAATAGGCCGTTCAGCCGTGGAGCGGCGAGGCGAGAGAGAAGTGGAGGAGCCGAGGAACGGTGAGTGGCCGAGGAGGCGGTGGAGTCGGGAGCGTTGAGGCTAGTAGAACCCGATGCCGCGGATGGCGATTGGGAACTGCGCCGATCGGGGGGCGATGGGGGAAGAGATCCTGAGGGATTTGGGGGACAAATCCTGGGAGTATGAAGGATGAAGGAAGGAAGAAAGAGGGATGAGGGAGAGAGATCAAGAGAAAAAGAAAACGAAGATGAAGATGAAGAAGAAAAGCAAGAAAAGACGTAGGGGGAGTCGAGGACATATGAAGAAGCGCGCCTTAATATCAAGGAGACGGTGAAGCCGGAACGGGGGGTGTACCGGGTACCACCTAGCAAGGTAGCGCTCCTCTCAGCCCGGGCGGCGGGATACCTGGACCGCCGTACTGGTACGCTTCTCCTAAATTAAAGCCGTGCTGACCGCTGGTTGCGATGATGGCAGGGACTGATTTCGAAGGATGCGATCTACCCAGATGACATTCCAATCAGATCCGATACCTGGATCTCTCTACTGTATCATCTAGATAGTGTGTATAGTGTGTATAGGAAGTGTTCTATCCGCGGAGATGTCTCTCCGGGGAGAAACTCGGGAAATGACTCCATCAGAGACGGAGAAGACTAGAAGCAATCAATACCACGCGAACCTCGAAATTCTTGCACAAATCGGAGGATTAAAAATTGGAGAAATTTGGAGGAACTTGAAAATCGAAAATAAAAAAAATAAAAAAGACAAAAATGGCCCCTCTGGCACTCCTTCCCCAATTGGGCGCTGAGTAACCTGACAAGGTTCACTAGCGTCGCCCATGAACTAGACCCAGCCAATCATGAGACTTGTGGCGTTGCACTCTTATCAGAGGATGCTGATTGGCTCTATCCACCTTCCCAAAGGAGCAGTCATCCAGAACAATGCAAGGCGGTGAGCCGGCATTTTCTCGGGTCCACCGCGGGGCGTACTTTTGCGTCCTTTTTTTTGAGGCTCCAAAATAACCGAGGTGTTGTGCCGAGTCTCCACTGTCATTCCGTCTGGTGGACCGCAATCTGCCATCGAACATTCCACCCCAAATGTGACCTTCGATCGGAAATCCGGGGAGAATCAGGGTTGCACGCTTGCAGCGTCTCTCCCCCAGACATGGCGTCACGACTGTGGGAGTTTCCCTATCCCCCCCCCCCCCCAACCAGCCATGGGCAATCCCCGCCCGTCTCCGTAAGAAACATTCAAGGTGGACCATCACACTCCAACCATGAAACTTGCCGTCTTCAGCGCCAAATCCTACGATCGCACCTACCTGGACCAGGTGCAGGGGGAGCGGTTCGCACAGCTGTGTACCATTGACTATCACGCCTTTGCCTTGTCCGAGGAGACGGTGTCGCTGGCCCAGGGCTGCGATGCCGTGTGCGTCTTTGTCAACGACATCCTCGACGGCCCTGTGCTGCGCGGCCTGCACGCCTATGGAGTTCGTGCGATTTTGCTCCGGTGTGCAGGCTTCAATCATGTCGATCTTGCAACCGCAGAGGGCCTGGGTTTCTTCGTAGCTAATGTCCCCGCCTACTCCCCCGAGGCGGTGGCCGAGTTCGCAGTGGCCCTAATCCAGACGCTGAATCGTAAGACGCACCGCGCATACAACCGTGTGCGCGAGGGCAACTTCAACATTGAGGGCCTCCTCGGAACCACTTTACGTGGGAAGACGGTCGGCATCGTCGGGGTCGGACGCATCGGTCTCGCGACCGCTCGCATCTTCCATGGATTCGGATGCCGACAACTGGCGTATGATCCATTTGCCGGTGACGAATTTCGCCCATATGGCACACTGGTAGACTTAGACACTCTCCTCCAGGACAGTCATATTGTCAGCCTTCACTGCCCACTGACCAAGGGCACGCGCCACTTGATCAACGAGACCACCTTGGCACGTATGCGGCCCGGTGCCATGCTGGTCAACACGTCGCGGGGCGGGCTCATCGACAGCGCGGCGGTCATCCAGGCGCTCAAGACGGGTCATCTCGGTGGCCTGGCCCTAGATGTCTACGAAGCCGAGGGCGAACTGTTTTACAATGATCATTCCGGGGAAATCATCCACGACGATGTCCTGATGCGCCTGATGACTTTTCCCAATGTCTTGATCTGCGGCCATCAGGCGTTCTTCACGCGCGAGGCCCTCACCGAGATCGCCGGGGTCACGCTGGGAAATGTTTCTGATTTTGTTGCTGGCCGATCGTGCAAGAACTCGCTGGTCACCGAGGGGCATGTGCTGGTTCGCGAGGACACGGAGCCTGTTCGGCTGTAGGTGGACAAATATGCCCCGAAACGAAGGAAAGGGAATTCAGGGAGTCCAGGGAGTTCATTGTCATACAAATCAGGAAATGCCATTCGTTATTAATAAATATCCTATGTCCTAGGTGTGCGTCAATTGCGAAGGGGGCGGGTGCACTGAAACTGTTGCTGCAGTGCGTGCCACGCCCGGGGGATAAAGCGATTGCCATGAACGATTAGCGGTACAACGGCGATCAGCCACATCAGATACACCACGCCCACGGCGAGCATCAAACGGAGCTGCTCGCAGATCGACGCGATCATTCCTGGCCGCACCCGGGGCCGCGAGCCATTCGATTCTTGGTCGGTGTGTGCCAAGGCATTTGCCATATGCCACGCTGCTCGGCGATTGATCCGCTCCCAAGTCGTGTCGTCGGCATACTGGCGCGCAGCCGTGGCCATGGCCCCTCGCCGGATCACATCCCCTGACATCTCCCGGACCAAAGAGGTAAAACCTTCGAGATCTCGCGGTGGTACTAAATACCCAGTCTCGCCGTGACGGATAATGTCAGACGGGCCGCCCTGGTCGCGCGCAATGACTGGCAGGCCACTAGCCATGGCCTCGAGAACAACCAGTCCAAAGGTCTCGGTGATGGAGCAATGGAGGAAAAGATCGGCCGAGGCATAGGCGCGGGCCAGCGCAGCCCCCGTGAGGAAACCCGTGAAAATGACGTGGTGCTGGACACCATGGAACAAGCGCTGCACTTTATTCTCGACCGCAGGATTGCGGTTACCCCCGACAATCAGCAATTTAAATGGGATTTTGTCTGCAGCCAGCCGTCGAGCGACATGCGCGAGGAACTCAAATCCTTTCTCCGGGGCGATGCGGCACACACAGATGAGAATGATTTCCCCCTCAGGCGCAATCTGCTGGCGATAGATGTTATCGCGCTGTACCGGAGTGAACAATGCTGTGTCGACGCCACGACCCAGCTGAACTAGTCGGTCTACCGGGGCACCGGCGCGTTCTAGGTACCCACGGATGGCGGAGCACGGGAAGAAGATGGTGTGCACCGCGCGAGAACGAAAGAGGAACCCCTGGACCGTGGCCAACAGCCACACGCCAAACTGGTTCAGGGGCGCGGGCAGCATGATCTCCGAGTAGGCCGAGAGGTCAGTTTGGAAGTTGAGCAAGACCGGCGGCGGAGCTCGCAGCTGGCGGATCTGGAGGAGCATCTGGAACCCCAGCGAGGCTGGACTGGCCAGGTAGATGAGGTCGGGTTCAAACGCCTGACGGTATATATCGCTGAGATGGAAGGGATATACCACCGTCAGATCGGGGTTGTAGGGCAGGGCCGCACCGGGCAGCCGTCGCAGCCATAGGCTGCGCTGTCTGGTGTCTGCCTTGAAAGATGGCGCGATGAGAATCAGCTCAACGCCATGGTCGCATAAGTACTCCACCAGGCTGCGCGTCGTGCGACTGACGCCATTGACGGGGCCCCAAGACTCTGTTGCCAGCAAGATCTTCTTGCCCTGGAGGATGCTAGGGAAGTCGGATTTGACTCCGTGTGAGGAGAGCAAGGGCGAGGATTCGGCCATGCCGTGAAGATAGGCCTGCCATGGCTCACTTCGCCAAGGGGGGAGGATCAAGGGACTCCTTTGAAGAGCAGAGCAGCCGAGCCATAGTTTCAGTGTGATCGCCGCTGCAACGCACGTGCGGGATCGACCCGCTGAGGATTGCTTGTTTGGCGGCCAGTCGTAGGGCGCCCTTCCAGCGCGTGCGCCAGTGGTGTGCTCTGGTAAATCTTGTATTTCATCTTTTTTTTTTTTTTTTGGTAGAAGATCGGGGAATGTCTGCGGTGGTTTAAGGGGGGAAAGGGGAGGAGGAGAGGATGAAAAAGCTTGATGTTCCCGTGTCCAGCCCTAAATGAGAGAGATCCAACCATACCCCAGTATGGATGCCCGATCTTCTTCTCTGTGTCCTTCAGTCAGCACGTCTGATCGGAGCCGTGATGGTTCAACGGCTCCAACTACTCCTAGTGCCAGTCCTCCGTCTCCGTTTGGTGTAGAGCATCTCATTCAGACACACTGGCCGTTGGTCCCAGCCCCTGGCGAGGATGCTCCTCCAGAGACACCTGTGAAGAACATCTGTATTGTGGGAGCGGGATATGTTGGTAGGTGCTATCTTGACACTTACCCACAGACAATGGATGACTGGGCAATGGACAGCCCTGGTTGACTATTTTCATAGGTGGTCCTACGGCGGCCGTTCTAGCTCTCCATCATCCTTCCCTCACGGTAGAAGTTCTCGACAAAGACCCGAACAGAATTCAACGATGGCAGTCCCCGCACCCACCGGTACACGAGCCTGGACTGGATACGGTGGTTCGAATCGTCCGAGATGGAGCTGCCCTGGGAAATGAGGCGGCAGCCTGTGATCTCTCGACACACAGGCGCCAGCCTAACCTGTTCTTTACATGCGATACCATCCCGGCAATAGCACGAGCCGATATCATCCTCATGGCAGTCAACACACCCACCAAGACCTTTGGAGTTGGGGCGGGTTGTGCCACCAATATGATGGCATTCGATGGGGCCATGCGGGAGGTTGCTGCCCACGCCAAACCGGGCACAATCATCGTGGAGAAGAGTACTGTCCCTGGCGGTACTGCTGAGCGTGTCCAGAAAATGGTAGGGTTTCGTCTCTCAAAACAGTAAATAGGGCTCCTAACGTTATCTAGTTGGCCGCGCGTCGCCCCGGAGTGCCGTTCGAGATTCTTTCCAACCCGGAGTTCCTTGCCGAGGGCTCTGCTATCCACAACCTGATGACACCAGATCGTGTACTCATTGGATCTGCCGCCACACCGTCGGGTCGCCAGGCGGCTCGCACGCTCGCCAACCTCTATGCAGCCTGGGTGCCGCCCTCCAAGATCCTCGCAACCAATGCGTGGTCCTCGGAACTGGCCAAGCTGGTAGCCAACGCCATGCTCGCCCAGCGGATTAGCAGTATCAACTCGATCAGTGCGATTTGCGAGAAGACCGGCGCAGAGGTAGACCAAATCGCCCACGCCATCGGGCTCGATGGGCGCATCGGCCCTCGGTTCCTGAAAGCGGGCTTGGGCTTTGGCGGCTCATGCTTTCGGAAAGACATTGCCAGCCTGGCCTACCTGGCTGAGTCCTTAGGGTTAGATGACGTGGCACACTATTGGCGACAGGTAAACGAGATGAACGAGCAACAACGGAACCGCTTTTCCCGCAAAGTCATCGACCGATTCACCGGTAACTTGGTTGGACACAAACTCGTGATGTTTGGATTTGCCTTCAAGAAGAACACTGGGGATACGCGGGAGTCGCTGGCCATCGACGTGATCCGTGAGCTTCTGGAAGAGCGGCCGGCCGAGATCGCCATCTTCGACCCATATTGCCGTCCTGAGGATATCTTCCGCGAGTTGGAGTCTGAACTACCCGGCGCAACGCGAAACGGGACGATCAAGGTGCACCCGGATCCATACCTCACCTGCTTGGGAGCGCATGCTATTCTCATTGTCACGGACTGCGACCAGTTCCGCAATCACCCGGAGAAGAGCAAGTCGAAACAGTCGCCCGCTTCTCCGGATAGCAGCATGACAGCAACCCCCATCGCCAACCAGTGGCAGAAGGAAACAGTCAGACACAAGGAGGAGGTCGAGTCATGGACGCACAGCGGAGTGTCGTACCTACTGACTCCTCAACCAGCTTGCCCTGTTGACTGTGTGGATTGTGGAATCCTGCCCGGCCGTTCGACCACGATGGAGGCCGTTGAATGGACACGCATTGCGTACAGCATGCTGGAGCCCAAATGGGTTTTCGACGGACGGGGCGTGCTGGACGCAGCGGAATTGGAGAGATTGGGGGTTCGAGTTGACACGGTTGGCCGACGAACCTCGCCGGATCTGTTGGTATGAGGGAGACGACCACTTGGGACTTGTAACGTTAATTTAGATGCCATGCTTGTTTTTATATTTGTTTCTAATAGGATTGACCAGCAATGGAATGGGGACAAGGCCCTGGAGTATTGTGAATTTCGAATCATCCAAGAGAAGAAAAAAAAAAAAGGAAAAAAGATGAATGCTATATCCTCAAAGCCCACGAAGATAAGCAATGAGATTCTCGCATAAACCACTCCTTCAAACTCTTGAGGCCGTCAGAGATTGGATTCTCCCTGCACGAGAACCATTTGCTCTAATTTGTCTCTCCTATAGATTCGATTTTGATAGAGGTAGGCCGAGTTGAACATCCACTGGAAACCACCAGGGATATCCCGGTGGCCCATTCTCCTGTGGATTCGTTTTAAACTGGGGCTTGCGCTTCTCCAGGAACGAATTGACACCTTCTCGATAGTCTCTACCCGAGAATCAGCTCTATGAAACTCCCTCTCTGCGAAGGAAAACATACTGTTCTCCCATAATATGATGGAACACCCGCGATTCCAGCAGATGCGCCGCCTCGGGGGATCTGGGACCCTCCCACATTAAAGCCCGGCTCATCGCAGATGCCAGCGGACTTGTAGTCTCGGCCATTTCTTGGGCCATTTCCAGTGCCCGGGGAAGGACTTGCACGGCGTCTGGCAACGCTTCGGTGAAGAGATCCCCGAAATACTTGGGAGTCGGAGGGAAAACACCTCCAGTAGCGATCAAGTGCATAGCACGGGAGAATCCAACGAGGCGAGGAAGAAAGTACGAGGCGCAGGATTCGATGGTGAGACCACGCTGAGTGAACACGAAGCCGTATTTACTTTGTTCATGGCAGATGCTAGACGAGTATTAGCAGGACAGCCCCGAATAATAGAGCGTTTCGCGTGAATAAACATGCCGAATAGCAGCCGGGAGAGTCATGGTCATCCCCACGCCCACGGCAGCGCCTTGTAGGGCGACGATCGTGGGCTTATGGCACCGGTGCATGGCGAGAGCAACCCGACCTCCACTGCAGAAGCATGTTAGTCTTCTTCTAAAGAGAAAAATGCCCGATCTCAATGATGACCCACATATCCCGAAAATCAACGGCCCTTCCCTTGCCATCCCCAAACCCAATGTCCAAGTCTGACCCGGCACAAAACATTCTTCCTGCACCCGTCAGTACGACTACTTTGACGCGATTATCAAAGTGAATCATTCGAAAGGTGCATTCAAGGCTATTGGCCATCTGTGGAGTAAAGGCGTTATGTTTTTCTGGCCGATTCAATGTAATCACCACGACGGGAGTGGCATTCGGTACCCCGTGAGGATGGTGGGAGAGTTTCACATGGGTCAATTCAAGAGCCTCATAAGAAAGAGGGACTGAAATTGAGGATTTAGTAGTAGCCATTTTCAATGCTTGACAAGTCCTGTCCAGCTGGCCTTGATGTTTTATACACGCACATGTCGACCCGCATGACACGGGCCTCGGTAGTGGGAGCGGAGAAAGATCGACGGGGAGAGCGACGAATTGTCAACCGAAGATGCCTTGGCTGGGGATTCCAGGTTTTCAGATAGTACGAGCCAAAGTCCAGTCCAATCCGACATATAGTGGATTAGCTTTTGGCTTCGTGGGAATCTCTCTCCTGACAAGAGGGCAGATAAGATATACACTTGATCAATTCGATATGAGAGGAGATACAAGAGCAATCTGCTGCTGATTGTTTGCTCATAATCAGGCAACTATTCGTAGACGCTCTTCACTAATATCGAACAGATTGACGGGAAGGTCCAGGTGTCGATATGAGCAGGTGCCCCGATGGGGGATAGGAGACCCCAATATCAACAGAGAGTGTAGTAGATAGCCTCTCATAAATAGTACACTGGGGGTAATAAATAGAAACATTGTCATTTGGAATCATCGCCCTAGAAGTTGCGTGAGAGAAACTCCTATATAGACTTCCTAAATAGGAAGGTACAGATTCTCGATGACTCATCACGAAATCACCTGACTGCAACCTCAACTCGCCCGCGCACGTTGACGCAAGTCGACTCCGACTCTACGCCTTCCAGTCTCCCTGCAACCATGGCTGGTCCCAGCAAGTGTGAGTGCCTCGCATCATCTGGCACTACTGATCCAAACTGCTAACACATTGCCAGCCCTGGTCCTTGACCCGGCCCTCCAGAAATACTACGGTACATACTCCACCCTATCTCTTTCCCTGCGCCCCGAAACTTTGACCTGAAGCAATGCCTGCGTTGCATCTGATGAGAGCAATTGCAATCGCAATAGCATTACTCAACCCAACACCGAGGTTTTCCATTCGCCAACTAGACAGTGACTGACGGACCCCACAGAACTCAACGCCAACCGCTACAAGTACTTCCGCTGGACCCCTCGCCATGCCTGGTTGTCATTTGTGTACATGGGCCTAATTCCTGGCGTTCTGGGCTACATTACCTACAAGACAGAGGTACGTGCCTGTTGATCGGTTTGGTGGTTGCCACGGTCGGCATATTTCCATAAGGGAACTTCACTAACGGCTTGCAGGGCAAGTTCGAACTCCGTGGCAAGCGAAAGGGGGACACCATCGCCGAGTGGTAGAAAATGAGAAACCGTTCAAGACTCGTTTTTTTGGTTCAATGCAGGTCGAGTGACGAATGCGACTTGATGTGATACGGGGGAGTTGATCCTTGGCGGGTTATGGCACTCCTTATTTCGCTCGGAAATTGCCTTTGAAGACTGCTATTCTTTTTGTCGCCGATGGCACCAGCCGTGCCATGGGCTGTGTACCCTACTACAAGCATATACCGCATGAATTCCTTTCTGTTTCCTCGAAGGACCACCCATGTCTTGGGATACGAAATGTTCCCTTCGTCTCAGCCTAATTAATCGTACATTTTTCGGTGGGTATCCACAGTCCTTTCAATGCAACCCTCGCAACTCCATTTCCCTTGTATGCACCTCGGCAATCCCTAGTACGGCGCCCATCCCCGGCGGCCACCCCGTCCACCACCCTCGGGAAGCCGCTCTCCACGTTTCCAATCCCCTATGGGGAAATTGGGAGGGCCGCCGCGATCACCACCACGATGCCCACGGCCTCCTCGCCCGAACCCATTGTCCCGGAATGCACGCATTCCGCCGCCCGCCGGGGGTGGACCAGAGCCGCCACGGAGAGCAGGCGCAACGGATCCGTCGTCCAGCGGCGGGAGAATCGCACATTCCACGTAGTCCCCAATAATAAAGCGGGCATCCTGCAAAGCCTTGTCAGACTCGGGACCCTGGAACCGCAGCGGGCCAGGGCGAGGACGGGCCTCGGATTTGTCTTCTGAGCCGTCCTCAGCGCGGAACGGGCTGTCACGAGGTCCCACAACAACACTTCCCAGATCTTTACTCAGGTAGCGGCCGCGCGCATCAGGGCCCATCGCGGTAGCTGCGCGCACATCGGGGTAGATCAGTCGGAAACACAGCCGGGAGCCAACGGGCGGATCGGGGAGTAATGAGGGAAGAGCACCAGTGAGCAGCTGGGCGAGCTCGCGCAGCGTGCAGGACTGCCAGGTGTAGATCTCAAGATGAGGTGGGAGCGACGCGGGTGCCGGAGGTGATGGCGCGCGGATGGCATTCGGACCGCTGACGGGCCCACCGCGGCGCGGCGGGGGCGCGGGGATGATATAGTCGGAGAGATAGTGGAAGTTGTTTGTGCGGTAGAAGAGTTTGAGGTGGAATGGGGTTGTGGTCTGTCGGTTGATCGTGGATTTAGAGCCTTCGCGCGACGGAGCGGCCATGATGGTAGGGCGGGAGCGCGTTTGGAATAAACACGAAGAGGGATTGAAGAAGATGCACCGAGAAGAAGAATCCCAAGAAGTAAAACGAAGTAAAACTTAGGGTGTGTCAAGGTCTTGGAGAGAGCTGCAGGGGAGGATCGTGTTAGAGGTTTGCAGTGTTGCCGAAGAGAGAAGTGAATGGAGGCTTGGAGCTCCCGACGTCACCCCGAACATTCTTTTCCTTCTACCACGCGCACCCCACAACTCACAGCTACGCCTCTTCCTTCTCTCCCCAAAAGACCTTGAAGACTTCGTCATCTCTTCATTTGAACATCCTTACACACCCACACAAGCCCTGCAGTATTGCAGCCTCCGCCGCCATGGATTTTGCCGCTCTTATGTCCAAGGAAATCTCCAAGGCCAAAAGCCCCGACACATCCAAGGCCAGCCCAGACAAAGGCAAAGACACCCCGACTGCCGAAGCACCCAAGAAATACATGCGACGAGGCGAAGTGGAAGCTGCGCGCGTTGCGGCTTACAATGAGGAGCAGGAGCGGCTACAGCGCGAGCGGGAAGAGCGCACGGCCCATAAGCGCAAGCTCGAGGACGAGGAAGCCGACCAAAAACGCGAGCGAGAAGAGAAGAAACGACGGTTAGCCGAGGAATCAAGGAAGAGAAGAGAAGAGGAGGAAGCAGAAAAGGAGCGGGAACGGCGACGGAAACTTGGTCTGCCCGAACTACCCTCGACCACAGATACTGCCGATGGTGCCGAGGAGGAAGATATTGAGGATGAGGAGCTCACGGCAAAACTGCGCGAGCTGGATGAACCTGCGCAACTCTTTGGAGAAACCCATCGCGCTCGACTTCGGCGATACCGGCGCCTGGTCAAGCGAGCTGCGGCACCAACGCTGACGGACGGGCCTATTCCCACAACCCTGGAGCCCGTGCCAGGTGGGCAGATGATTATCCCGGACAAGATCCCCAAGGATCAGGAGAGTCGTCTCTTTCTCTTCCGGCAGCTGGCGTCCTACTTTAACATGGTTCTTTCAGAATGGGAGCTGGCATTGGCCAAGCGTGACATCTCAGTGCGGCAAAGCTCCCAGGGCCGACAGGCATATAATGCGATGGTCCAGTCGCGGGAGAATATGACGCCATTGTTCCGCCGATTTGAGAAGGGCGATATGGAAGACGGGTTGCTGGAGCCGATCGTTGAGATCGTCCACAAGGCACAGCAGCGACGATATGTGGATGCGAACGATGCGTATCTGCGGGTGAGCATCGGCAAAGCGTATGTCATCCCACGATCTATTTCTTGTTCTTCATCATCAGTCTTGAGCTAGAAGCTAACTCGCCACAGAGCATGGCCCATCGGTGTGACCATGGTGGGTATCCACGAGCGATCCGCCCGAGAGAAGCTGCATCAGGGCGACCAACAGGCCCATATTCTCAGCGACGAGATCACACGTAAGTATCTGCAGAGTATTAAGCGCTGCCTGAGCTTCACCCAGGTGCGATGGCCCCCAGAAGACCAGCTACAGATCATGGGTTAGGGTGTCGGTTGTTTCAGTGATATACCCTGGGCGTCTGGATCCCAGATGAATGCATATGATGATTATCTTGCGAATGTTACAGAATATCATGGCAATTGCAGTCTTTCTCTTTTTCCATCTAACTTGCTATATACAAACTCGACGCATAGCATGGAGCATCACTCTCCTGAGCGAGCTCTGCATTAATTTTGCCCCTCCTAGGTTCAAATATTGACCACCGTATGTTATAACCGCCCTTCTTGTAGTAACTTAGAGACTGTCACAACGCGATATCCTCCGCGCTTCAGCTCCGGCAATACCGTCTGTAGCATCGGTGCTGTCCACTCTCTGCGGTCATGGCAGATAATAATACTACCAGGCCGCACCATGCTGAGGATATGATTGGCATTAAGACGCCAGAACGGCACCTGTGGATCATGAGGATACACGTCGCCCAGGACTAATCGGTAACCCAGCTCTTTAACGCGAGAGCGCATGCGAGAACTGAAGAATCCCGAGCCGGGCCGAAACAGCCAGTTCGGTGGCCCGTCAGCCTGCCCCGTTGCACGATAGGCGTCTTGGATATGGCCGTGGACAGCCAGGATCTGGTCCGTGAGAACGGCATCGCTCAGCGCTCGTGACGGCTCGTCATGCATGGCGTGGTTGGCGAGCTCGTTGCGGGCGCGAACCAGATCGGCCAGAACAGTTTCGTAGCCAGGGATCTGCGATCCGATCACGAAGAACGTGGCGGTGGCATCGTGAGCTCGGAGCAGATGTAGAATAGCCTCAGTGTGCGTGGAGGGGCCATCGTCGATGGTAAGTGCGACAACTTTCTTGGTGACGGGGACGTGGAAGAGCACGTCAGGCCAGCGACGCTGGCAGAAGCGGATGAGTGCCGCAGGTGGTTTGTAGACAAAATATAGGGAGAATAACAGACAACAGGCCAGGATGCCGCGCAGCATCGTGGGTGTTGGAAGATGATGGCCGGCTCCAATCCCCGACTCCACAACATCTCTCTACACTAAGACGATCATCCACCATTCAACCCAACCATGAAATGACTAGAGCTTCGATCTTGGCCACGTATGCCTTGGATTGTCTGGATATCTGAACGAGTTTACTGCACATGGTCTTTCTCCTCGCTGCGAGGGATCCGCACAAAAGCCGCGCAAATGAGAGTTCCGAGCACCCCAGGCTGAACCACCAAATGCTGCGCAGAGCTGCGAGATCGAGCTGGTAGCCAGGAGATGAGCTGACTCGCTCGCCAATCGAGTCCCCGATTGCAGTCATGACGGCCGCAGCCAGGTTCTGGATGATCACCAACACACTGCCTGCCGAGCCTTGGAATGACTTCGGGACACTCGAGGTGATGAAGATCGAGGCAGCGGCAAACGACAGGTCGGGCCCCAAAGTGACCAGCGCAATGTCCGGCATCGCGAGCGCCCAGTAGGAGGTTGTTGCAGTCTGCGGAAGGAAGAACACAGGACCCATGGTGAAGGCTGCCATTTCCACTGCCAGGATCCAATGACCTGGGAACACACGAAGCGTCTTTGCAACCAGCCAAGTCGCCAACACACCCAACACTACGTTGGGAATCATATACAGCGCCACTACCAGCGGTCGCTGTCCTTGCACTGTCAAGAAGAACTGAACTGCATAGAACATCCAGCCGCCGATGTACGCTCCGCACCCGAAGAAGTATGAGATGGCCAGTGGACCAAAGCCCGGGGTGGTTCAGAGTCGATTGTCAATCAGCGATCATGTTGCCCGCCGTTCCGCCAGGTAAAAGACAAAGAAACAACCGACCCCAATCATCATTGCACATACCGGGCCTGGTTGGGAAATCACCGCTAGGGATCCTATACCGAGAGAAGCTAAGAAGGGGGGTATACGGAAGGATCTCTTCGTTCATGTTGTATTAGATTGAGATTTGAGTCTGCGAGCGTGGACTAGACGGGCTCCTATAGATGCGGCGGAATAGCAACGGCATGGAATGGAGCGCCATTCGGGTTTACAAATAAGAAGTTATTCAATTAAATGTCTGGGGGTTGCCCCACCAATACATTCTGTTCTTGCGAGTGTTTTGATACTGAAATCCTTTGGTTACGAATCCTTTGGTCTATATATAATGCACACTAAGCTCGCAATTTACGCCAGTTGTCTCGACTCGGCATTCCAGACGAGTATATTCTCGTAAGTTTTCCATAACTGCATTGTATATAATTCATATCAATGCACATAATAGCATATAAATAGACGTTTATTTGGTCACTCAATGGAAGGGTCATGAACCCCCGGAATTACGGTCTAATCATACTGCGTGAGTAATTCCCTCGCAGCTTGCTACTCGGAATTCACGACTGTCAAATCCACACCCAGTAAAAATTCTGGAAGGGAGAGGAAATGCCAACGGAGCGCAGATCAAGCTCGCGGAGTCATATCAATCGGGCCTGTGAGCCTTGTCGCCTGCGCAAGACGAAATGCAATGGGAAGCAGCCATGCAAGGGACGTCAATTGCAGCCGGATCAGTGTGTCTATCGGAGTGGAAATGCGCGCAAGAAAAGAAAGACACCAGCTGGTTATACTTCACCGATCAGCCTGGCTGCTAGACCCGCTGCGTTGAAAGATGCCGCCCCCTTACTGGCCGGGAGACTGAGTGCTCTCGTGCAGTTTAAACAGCACCAGGCATTGCGGGTTGGGATCGGGGTGTCGAATCCAGCCACGGGCTCGTTTCAATTCTATGCAGCTTCCTCGTCGTTCTTGATTCCAGATCCCTCATAACGGCTTTTCTTCATATTATTCAACTCATCCTCCTTCTTGTCCAGCTTATAGTTGGTTGCCCAGAAGCCAACTGCGCCTAAAAATGCAAGGAGGGCCACTGCCGTATAGTTCCATGTCAGGAGCGGATCCACGGACAACCCGACAAAGGCCTGTCCAATGGCCGACGAGAAGGCGTTCATGAAGAGCGCAACGGCCTGCACCAGAGACCGCATGTTCTTGGGAGCCTTAGTGTAGGCGTATTCCATGGAGACCACCGAGGCAAGAATCTCAGAGATACCTCCCAGAATATAAATCAGCGCCTGCACCCAGACAGACACAGGCGAGTGCTTGTTGAACTCGTCTAGGCAGTAGTTGGCCTCTCCACCGCAGTCGCCGAGCTTATAAATATAGTATTGAGTCACAGTAGCGACGACCATGGACAAAGCAGCCATCACGAACCCGGCAGTAATGCGCTTCAGGGGAGTGAAATTGAGGCCCATTCGACGGATGCCGGGGTAGATAATGCGGTCGAAGATAGGGATAAAGACAATCAGTGACAGAGGATTGAGGTTGTTCACGATGTCATTCGGGATCCCGTCGAGTCGCATGGTGGCGGCCTGGGAAGTGAGGTTGTTCAGCATCTGGTTGTATGCGAGCCCTAGCAGACAGTTAGATTCTCCATTTTTCACACGACCACTGTTTTGGGCGTATGCTTACAGTAGAGGGGGTACCAAAGGAACACCACGCAAGCCTTCATGCCACGGGAGACTTCGTCGACCCATTCATCGTCAAAGGTCATCCAGACGGGCTTGTTTGGCCCTAGATTAGACGGCTTGACCGGCTCCCAGAAGGGGGTTGTATTTGTGCGGAAGCTGTTTCAATTAGCTTCAGTCCCGTGAAATCGGGATAGATATGAGGGCAAGAATGAAGACGGAGTAGAAGAAGGGAAACGAGACTCACAGTCGTGCCGGGTTCAATGACCACCGTCCCTTCATCGCCAATTTCCACAACCGGAAAGCCTGCAGATAGACCGAGCCCGTCGGCTGGACCAAATAGTATTTGTTCTGACAGAAGAACAGCACAATAGGACAGAGCATGAACATGCAGGTTGGCAGGAAGAATGACAGCCAAAACCCCACATATCGTTCTGCGTACACCATGCTGACTTGACCAAGGATAGAGCCAATGTTGATCATTAGGTAGAAGTAGAGGTAGATGCGTCCCACTGTCGCGGCGGGGTCCTCAATAACTCGCTCGCCTGATGCGAGGATCTTTACTTCAGCATGTTCCTGGCGATATTGCTCTGCAATCAACGGAGAGATATTGGCTCTGTTTTAAGTCAGCCTCGAATTCTCCGCTGTCTGCAAATTCAACCAAAGATAGGCTCAAAACATACTTAAAGCCACCCGTGCCCACGCCCATAATAACCAGCCCGATTGAGAAACAGGCAATGGAGCCATTGGGGTGAGATATCACGCTGGGGATTGCCGAGACAACCATCACCACATGTCCTATCAGGGCCGCGCCAATGGCCCACATAATTGTACGGAACCGGCCTAGATATTGATCGGCGAGAAAAGCTCCGAACAAAGGCATGATATACGACCAGAAGGAGTTGACTGGTCGAATGGCTGAGATTAGAAGATGTTGATCCAAGTCCGAGTTTGGTTGATAACTTACAGAGCGTCAGGCCCGTCGACGCCTGCTGGCCCATACTCAGAGCGCCAGGAACGTTAACATCGCCGCCCGCACCGGTTGTTGAGCCTGGTGGTAGAGGACGTTGTATATAGTTCACAACTGGATCAAGAGTCAGCGCGATGCTCATGCAATAAAATTAGGAATCACATACACACGGCAGTTGTTCCATAGTATGAGAAACGTTCGCACAGCTCCACAAATGCCACTGTATAAGCAGTCCAGGGAATGGGACCCGACACACGACGCAGGGTTTCGAATTCCTCGGGAGTAGGAAGATTCGGGGGACGATCCTCTTTGAGATCCCCTGGCAACACATTACCCGTGGGGCTCATCGTGGAGAGCTCTTGTACCTGGGGTGTTCCAGTCACATCTTTTTCTGGAGCCAGCTGAGCATCATGGGCGTTGGCGGAGGATTTGGCCACCTCGATGACCTCGACCGGATCGGATGAGTTCATGACGGGAGTTTTCACAAAGACTTGCCCATTAAACCATTCAAACTGCCACGCGAGAATAAAGCGCACTTGAGAATGCAGGCCATGACCTGGGCGAGGGTCGGAGATAATAAAGCCAATGCATTGGGCTTGTCGCGTGTGTCTCCTGCATGCGGGGACCCACGATGGATCAATCCCAGATCGCAACATCCCGGCCAAGAAATGGCAACCGCATCGAGAATCCTACAGAACACTACCTGAGACAGGCTCAGGGTGGTGCTGCATGGCCCGGTCATAAGCGAACGGGTTCCAAGGCCCAAGACCTTGCTCTTTTTGTTTGCGATCTTTGCCCCTAGGGCCAACCACGACCGAGGAAGCATTTCAGCTCGACGGCATGGCGGAGTCAAGCAGCGGCTTGGCGACTTGGCTGCGAGTCCCCGAGCACAACCCTGGCCGCCACCGGTCGCGCTGATAGGAGGAACAACATATCAGGCGATCCTGGAGGTCCAACGGGTGTTTAACGTGCGTATCTCGCCTATCTCTCCGGGAAGCCCCTGGTTAGCACGGCCCCCAGCGGCACAGAATCTTCGGCTGCACCAAATAGGGTGATGTCGATCCGTTCCCCGATGAAGGTAACAATGCGGGATGAAGGGCATCCAAGTGGATCCCTCTCTTATCAACTGGCAGTCTGGTGTCTTGTGAGGGCGTGCATATGAAGCAATTCGCCAGGAGACCAAAACTAGCAATGATTACTGATAATGAGGCGGAAACGACAGCAGACGCGATCGTATGAAATAAAAGGTGTAGAATGCCGAGTCCCACCTTCGCCTCGTAAATATCCTATGCGCCTAAGAATACATAAAATCACATTATCGGACCAGGTCATTCCACATGCGAATCAGTGTGTTCCACCAGCGACCGGCGGGCTGGTTAGTCACCGTGGACGTCTTGCTGATGGTGTCCTCCTGCGCCGGGTCCGGGGATTCCCCGTTGGCGTAGATATGATGGCCATCGATCCCATTCATCGCAGGAAGGGAAGAGCCCGGTGACTTGGCGGTTGACACCACGCTGCTGGACATGCTATGGGGTCCCCGTTTGCCAGATGGAGACCCGATGAGACGACCAGCCGTGGAAACGCAGCCGCCATATGCAAAGCGAACCAAAGAGTCTCCGGTTAAACTGCCGACGATGTGTACCCCCGGGGCAACCTCCAAATCCTCTGTTGCTTTCGCGCGGAGTGTCTGTCCTGACACTGTTGCATCATCTTCATCGCTATGCCCCAGCACTTCGGAGCGCAGCTCGGGATCAAGATATCCGAGGGTGCCTCGTCGTCCGGCGGCATATACTAGACCACGCACAGATCGTGAGAATGTAGATCCGTCGTCTCGACGAAACGAGACCGTCGGCAGGCCATCGTACAGCTCCACGTTGGTAATTTCGACATTCGAAACGCCCTCATATACTGCATCCCAATTTCGGCTTTCTAAATATGGAGTTGAGGCGGCACGGCGGTACTTTGGTCGTTCATTCTTCGCGGCAGCTTCGGCTGCCAGCACAGCTCTTTTCATAAGCCGATATACACCGGCGTACTCCGGATACGCTTGTTGGTGACAGCCTCGGAGAGGCGACGGACGGTTTTCTGGAGCCCATTTAAATACGTGAAAAATTTTCTGATCACGAGGGGCGGATATGATGGCATCGGCGGCGGAGAATCCGGACCCAATAACGAGAAGCGGGATATCTGGAGTGGGCTGAGTCTGTAGTACGGGTTGTAGCACTGATTCCGGTGCGAGTATCTCAGAAAATATCCCACTAGCCAGCACCAATCGCTTGCAGTGGAGATCATGGGATCGGATGTAGAATCCATCGGCAGTGCGAGAAATGCCGTTCAGCTCTTCCGCACACCGAAAGGATTCATCGATGTGTACAGCTTGTGGATAGACACGGAGATAGTCGGCGATTTCGCGCCTTGTGGGACGGGTGAACGGTGGTAGGTCCTGGCCTGTGGTCTTTCGGTGATGATCGGGAAAGGAGTACCCAGGCAAGGATAACATAGCAGCATAACTCAAGGTCTGGATATCCCAATTTGCGCCCCATGGATCTTCCGTCCATTGGCCCCCAGGATGGGAGGGTTTTCCAAATACGAGATGTGGAACTACTTTTTTGGGCTCCAAGCGCCACTCAATATTTGAAACGCTGCCCGGCTCATCCACGTCGACACTTGGACGTACAAGCGTGTCCAGAAGAACATTTACAGGCAGGGCCTGTGTCGAATACGATAGGCGCGATGCTGCAAAATGTGCCGTGAGGGATTCCACATCGGCATTCAACAAGTCAGGCGTAGCCCTCAGTTTGGCGTCGAGTAAATGGTCGGGGTGTGGTGGTTCGTGGGAATAAAACGGAACATGGCCATGGAGAATAAACGATAGGATCATGGACGACGGCCCATTGCCTAGACAAGGAGAGTTCTCATGTTAATACGAGGCCGCCAAAAGGGTTGCAAGAACGCTGCCGGGAGGGAGCTCGTGGGTAAAAGAGCAAAGTCGCAAAAAGAATAATTCTAGGCACCTACCGACGATGACCGTGTCAGTTTCCATTGACGGCGACTTAGTCCCTGACCATTCGACCAGCGCGGGGCATTCCGTTGGAGACATGCGACGGGGGATTCGGCGGAAGTCTCATCCGAAGCAGCGCGAGTGTTTGGGGATCACACTGCCTTCAGGCGAGACAGCGCAAAGGCCATGGATAAACCGGTGTCGCATGGAAGAAGAGAATCGGGACAATCGCTCCAAGCAACGCGGCGGGGAAGCCCAGTACGGAGGTATCGATTCCGCTGAGCGGAGATGCATAATCACGCTGACAAACCAGTGGGGAGGCAGCGCGGAAGACTTTGTTCATTCGCCGGCGGGGCGGTTCTCCAACTTTGGGCCTGGATCCGAGGGGATCACGCATAAGGGAAATTGATTGCTCACGGGGAGAATCATCTTCACGCCAGAAACGCAAGGCTGTGGGATGAACAAAGAACTGGGTTTCACTCAAATTGAATCGAAGACTTGGAGAGGACCAGTCGGGCGCCCACCGCCAGACTGCCCCTGAAGCCCTAAACCCTACCTTCCTAAACAAGGAATGAGGCTGGAACGCGGATCGTCGGGCAACATGGCAACTCCAACCTGCGATGCCATGGTGGAGCCCCGGCGTGTTTTTTCAGACTGGATAGATCGCGCTCGGTCTTGAGATTTTGCGGGGCCCGCGATCATGTATCACCTGGCCAAATCGCTGTATCTCTACGCCACCAGCAAAGAGGGTACGCCGTCGACCGCTGCCGCGCGATTCGGTTGGCTAACATCCCATGTTCTACGCTAGAGTATTCCGTGCTGCTACTTGGGCTAGATAATGCCGGCAAGACGACTCTTCTCTCTCAGATCAAGGCGCTTTACCAGCCCCGTGCCGATGGGGCCCCGGCGCCCAACCCCGGCAAAACGGTGCCGACTGTCGGCCAGAATGTCACAACTGTTTCCTTACCGGACCTGAATTTGAAAATCTGGGATGTCGGAGGACAGATCTCGATGCGGGGACTTTGGCAAAGTTACTACAGTAGCTGCCACGCGATTATTTTCGTGGTCGACAGTGCCGACGTTGGACAAGACCCAGACATCACTCGTCTTCCATCCGCATCCACACGGCGCACGAGCTCAATATCAGGCCCCAGTCGAACGAGGACCGGCAGCGGAGAGACCTTCTCCGAGGAGACAGTTGGAATAAATGCTGCCGCCGGCGAGTTTGGGCGATTGGGCGAATGCCAAGAGGTCCTTGAATCAGTTCTTCAAAGTGCGGACGTTGCTGGAGTGCCCATCCTCGTGTTGGCCAACAAGCAGGACCGCGAGGACTGTGTCGAAGTGGTCCGTATCAAGGAAGGATTCGTGCGCAAGGTGTTTGAGGGTGAAACAGGGGGCGGCGTCCGCGACAGCCGCGTGCTGCCGGTCAGCGCGCTGCTCGGATCTGGGGTACAGGCAGCGGTCGAATGGGTGCAAAGTCGTGTCAAATGGAACAAGGAGAGTCGGCCTCCGGTCATGCGGTGATTAGATATATTTCGGCTCAGGACGTGCCATGTCGAGCCTCTCATTTTGCGATTCCTGCTAGCGTTTGTTAATGATCATCTGTACTTTTTGTCAATATACCAATGGAATTTATTCAGAAGACAGGTACATGTGCCAAGTTCTTGGGAGGGTTGACTTGATATATAAGAGTTTTGGGATGGTCGTCGGCGGCAGCGACTACCTTTTCACTCAAAACCTAATGGAATGAAAGTAGTCTTCACCCATTGTATACGCGAGAGGCTCGAATTCACTTTCATTTCTCTCTAGTCTGTAATGCGACTAAGGAGTGATGGCAGGAGTCTTGGATACTGGCTCTCGTCGCATGCAGTTTGAATATCAAGGACCGAAAACAAACAATGAGAAGGGAATAAGCCTTCCCAAGGTCCTCAGAGAACATGACAACATTCAAAGCATTGAAATGTCCCTTCGAAGGAAAATGCCAGTTCACCATGTTGCCAGTTCTGAGCTGCCACCAGAATCAGGCACCAATGCTCGAGGCTTCTTCCATCGTGATTACAGGTCGGGGGGACCCCCTTTACCTCTCAGTAGTATGCGGGGCGTATATTTGCCTAAGGCCAACATAGATTTCATCCCTCCCCTATTTTATTTACTTTACCTTACCTTCCTTCTCCTTTCTATCTACACCCCTAATACTACTTTTTTACCAGTTTTTTATTATAACCCGACATTATGCCGTCCTATACTCTAAGTATAAGTATTATATCTCTTAGAAATTCAATTATATCTAATAAGAATAATAGAAGAGGATAATTTAAAGTAAAAGCTAATAATTTAGTTAAAGTCTATCTTTTAGTAGTATAAATCGTTTAAAGATAGCACTGATCTCGAGCTGCCTACTATCTATATCGAGGTATATCTTTATACCCTTTTCTCTCGAATCTCTTATAGATATATTAGTTAAATATTAATATAAAATAGGAAAGATACTTAATACCTACCGTCTTTACTATAGTAAGGTTTTTTATTAAGCGTCTAGATATAGTAAAAAGATAAGTATTAAAAGTATTTCTTTAAGTATTTCTTTATTTAAGTCTTACTCTTAGCGGGATTTACTAGTTTTTTACTAGTAAATCCTATTAGGTTTTTTTTAATATTTTTATCGTTTTTATTAGTAACTAACTAGTATTTTTTAGACCCCTAAAACCTCTACTTATAATCTCTATTATTATTATATAAATAAATATCTTAAATTAACCTTTATCTCTACTATTAGTAGACTATCTAATAATAATAACTAGACTACTATTAGTAGGTTTTTATAATTAAATTTATCTAATTTTATTAGTAACTAACTAATATTTTTAGCGTTCTACGTTATATTTCGTGATATTTATAATACTTATAAAGAGAAAGAAAGAGAGATTAAACCTAATATTCTATTAAAGGCGAACTAGGATATAAGTCTTTATTTATTAGTTTTTTATTAGTAAATTAACCTTTTTTTAGATCTATCTTACTAAGATACGTTATATAGCGAAAGAATTAGGTGGCTAAGTCCCTTACGAGCCTTATAAAGATACTAATAATAAGGCTAGTATATTTTTTTATTTTTTTATTAATAAAATTAATATATTAACTAGTATTTAGATTACTACTATAAGGAGAACTACGGGTATTACGATAACTTCGATTTTTTTAACCTATTTTACGTTAATAAAGCTAAAACTAAAGCTAATTTAGTTACTACGACTATTTCGGATAATATTAAGGTATAAATTACTAGTTTTTTACTAGTTTTCGTTTATAGAGGGTTAATAACTACTTATTTTAATTTCTTTTTATCGTTCTAATATTTTATAGCTTAAAAAAAAAATTTTTTTTAAAAAATATCTAGTTTACTAGTTTTTTACTAGTTTTTTAGTTACTATAAATTTACAAATTAATTTATTCTAATACTATAAATCGATTTATTCTAATATTATTCCTAATTAACGCTCTTTTTCCTAAATATAAAGCTCTCTCTCTCTTAATTTAATCTCTCTTTTTTATCTCTTAAGATCTTCTTTATAAGTATTATTAAGATTTTACTATTAATTTATAGTAGCCCTAATAAGATTTAAAGATAGAGTCCTAAGATTTATTAATAAAGTATTAATAAGATACTAGTTCTTTTTATCTTTTTAACTTATATAGAATAACTAGATTAAGTAGAAGTTTAACTACTACCTTATTTTATTCGTTTTAACCCTACGCGTTAAATTAAATAGCTAGATAAACTAAATTTATATAGCTCTCGATCCTCTAGAGGAATTTCCTTTTATTCTTAATATTAACGTTAACGCTTTTTCTCTAAAAGAATATTAGTATTAATACTATAAAATAAATCAAGATTTTAGTAATTATACCCTTACGTCGTAGACTATACCTAAATTATATAGTAAGATTATCTATATAATAGCTATAACGTATATCGAATTAATTTTAATAAAGAAATTAATTAATATCGCGTTAATTAAGAGTCCGTGATCTAAATAACTAGTTAGATACTAATAAAATACTAGTAAATAGAAGAATATATTTAATAATAGTATCTAATAAAAAGTCTTATATTCCTATCTAGTAGGATTTATAGTAGCTCTACTTTACTAAATTAGTATAGTTTCTTATTAACTTAAAAAACTCTTTTTTAATAGGAGAGTATATAGTATAAAGACTAGTAGTAATAATAAGAATCTACTTATATTAAGCCTAATTAGTAAGCTCCGGACAATACTCTAAAAAGATATAGTTAGTTAAATATATATATTAGTATAAAACTAGTAAAATACTAGTAAATACCTTTAATTAATTCTATTAGTTTAAAATAGTCTTCTCTTATTTAATATATAAAAAGACTAAGAAGTTGGTCTCGAGTATCTCGCTAAGATAAATTATAAGGATTAGAACTCTCTAGTATCAATTTTATTATTATACGTTAAAAATAGATTTTATAGAATATTAGAATATTTATTGTATACTATCTCCACGTTTTATCTTTTTGATTAATATCTTATAGTATTCGTCTAATCCCTAAAACTAGTTAAAAGCTAGTAAAATACTAGTTTAATAGAGTTTAATTTACCTATTATCTACTTTAGGTATATATCGTAGATAATCGATTTTATTCTATTACTATAAAGATAGTAGAATTAAATCTGATAGCCTATAAGCTCTCTAATAAGATTAAATATCTAACTAAAAAGATATTGATATTCTTTTGTAGTCTCTTAATTAATATATATATAGTAAAGGGTAATTACTAAAAAGAAAAATTAATAAATAACTAGTATAATACTAGTTTAGAAGATTTACCTTTCTTATATCTATTAATATATATTGTAAAGATTACCTTATTTATAATACCCTTAACTCTTTTATAAGATATATTAACTTTAAAGCTTTTAAGAGATATAAGATAACGAAGCTACTTATTAAACGCGTAAAAAATAAAGATTTCTATTTTATTATCTTTAATACCACGAACGTAACCCTAGTAAATATTAATATTATATTAGTATTATACGAGTAAATCTATCTATCTAGAGTATTTTATCTCGTTTAAGCTTATAACGAAGTCCTATTAGTTCTTTACTATATAGATATATTAAAACACGTTGCTTCGTAATAATTATAGAGAATCGCTCTATTTTCGTAAAGCTCTAATAAAGTAAAAAGAGAGTATAATAGCTATATTATCGACAGAAATCTCGGAGACTATTATTTTGTAAAAATATACCTAAGATAATTTAGTAAAAAGGTATATTAGTATAATGTTACGCACTGGTCACCTATGATTGTTAGCTGGAACCTGAAGGTATACTTCTCTCAAGATACCAAGACACGTGGGTCTTTCTAGTTATACTAGAAGGACAGGGGTCTTCTAGTATTAACGATATCCGGCCTCGCAACCGTACTATTGCCTTATTCGTTAGGCCTTACATAGGCTTGGGTCTGTTGAGGTATCGAGGAACGATCAAGGTGAGGAGTGCTTAGTGATAGAAGTACCGAAGGTGCTTTACTACTAGAGGGGTTGTCTTGAGAGGATCATAGTATAAACGAGATAATCTGAGTTAAACTAGTAACTAAGGTTGATAACATAAGTTAAACGCGAAGAGCTAGATATATAGTAAATAAGCGTCCTTATATATCCTTCTCTTCCTAACGGTATCCTAGTAGATAATAGTATAGTAGCTATTAGTAACTATACTATCGTTGATCGTTCTACTATTTCCTGGTCACGTAACGCTAATACCCCTATTAGTATAAATTGGTTGGCTCTAATATTCCTATTCTATAGGACGCTAAGGCGCTAACGTGGTTAGTCTGTAATATCACCTTCCCTTTTTGTGGGTTTTCGTCCTTAGAAACATAAGTAGGCTTACGCCGTCTAGTTATCTTTGAATCTCCCCTCTTAGTAAATACTTCTTTCTCCTTCCGTCGCGTTATACCCGCGAAGCGTAAAGCTAACGTTATCCTAGAAAGCGTTCCTAAGGTATCTCGAAGTCGGGGTGTTGGTCACGAGTATTAAACAGAATATATTCAACGATTCGGTTTTATCCCTTCGGTTCCTTACAAGAGTTGTCGCGATTCTGATAAAGAGTGTATGATAGATCGGACCCGAAGATATTCGAAATATATATCGTGTACGCGGTAGGGTCACCTGTGTAAACGTGACTTCTATACCGAAAAGGAGTGGTCTTTACTTTAGTAAGTAAGAGAGAAAATAGCAACGGATTTATCGGCCGCTAATAACGAGCTAGATCTATTAGAGCCGGAGTTGAATTAATTATAGACTCGTCTATCGGAGGTACAGAGTAAAATTGCTAAGACCTTAGCTTATTATACCCGATTACGGAAATAACAAAAATTCTTAGAATAACGCGGTTTCAAAATATTAGAATATAATATAGAATTATTAGTAATTTTGGATATAAAGAAATCGTCTCTAAAGTAGGTTTCCCCTTCTACTCTCGATATTTAGT